AAATGCCCAGAAACTCCATCTCCGCCTCCTGTCTCTCCTACATCATCCCCTTATCCCAGCCAGGGCCCCTGTAGTTAGGTTTATCCACACTGAAAAGACAGTTTCCGAGATGCTCCAATACTGGCACAGGTTCCTCTCTGGTTGAGTGTGCACGTGTGTGCACATGTGCACGCATATTTTATTTCTACCTGGCCCTCCCTCCTCCCTCCTTGTCCTCCAAATACCATCCCTGTGAAAGTCATTTCCCTGGCAGAAGCATACACTCAGGAAAAGCCCTGGGAAAACAGAAGTCTTCCTGTAATGCAAGCTAAAATCACAACGAGAAACCCACATCCACAAGAATGTCTAAAATTAAAAGGACCAATGAGACCAGGTGTTGATGAGTGTGTGGAGCGACTAGAACTCTTATACATTGTGGTGTAGTGTGAGCTGGCACAATCAATTTGGAAAACTGTTTGGTGCTATATACTAAAGCTAAACACATGTATATCCAATGACCCAGCAATTCCACTCTGGGATATATACACTCCAGATATCAACAAGAATGTCCATAGCAGCCAAAGGAATAGTGAGAGACTGGAAACAATCTAAATATTCATCAATAGGAAAATGGATAAATAAATTGTGGTATATTTATACAGTGGAAGACTACCCAATAACAAAAAAGAGTGAAGTACCGTGACACACAACAACATGGGTGAGTCTCGCAGGCATAATGTTAAGAGAAAGAAGCCACACACAGAAGAGTGTATATCAATAATTCCATTTCCGTGAAGTTCAAAAATAGGCAGAACTAATCTAAGGTGAGAGGGGTCAGAATGATGGTTTTGGGGAAGGTATTGACTAGAAGGGAACACAAGGGAGCCTGTTGAGGTGCTGAAAATGTCCTATATCTTGATCCGCGTGGTGGACACATCCTGGGTGTACACATATGTAAAAATTTATCAACCGTATACCACTTATTATTGGAGTATTTTACTGAATGTGGGCTATACTCTAAAAAAAGAGATGAATGAACAAATAGACAGAGGGCTCCATGGAGTTTCCTATGCTACACTCCAAGGAAATAGGGGTTAGGGTGAGGAGGGGACCATTCTCGGGTCTTTGCAAATTTATTTATTTATTTTGTGAGGAAGATTGGCCCTGAGCTAACATCTGCCAATCCTCCTCTTTTTTTTGGCTGAGGAAGATTGGCCCTGGGCTAACATCCGTGCCCATCTTCCTCTACTTTATATGGGACGCTGCCACAGCATGGCTTGACAAGTGGTGCGTCGGTGCACGCCCGGAATCCAAACCCGCCGCAGCGGAGTGCGCGCACTCAACCGCTTGTACCACTGGGCGGGCCCCAGGTCTTTGCAAATTTAGATGATTCCACCACCTCTCCTGTGGTAACCCTGCGCGACAGGGTCTCCTCCACACAATCTGTGCACACTCAACATTTTGAACCTGTGGGGACACACTCAGACCCCCCGAGTTGGTATAAAGATTATTTTAAAGTAAAAATGTTTGGGCTAAAGAAGATACAGGAAGAAATGTTATCTGAACTTCCTTTAACTGACTAAAGCAGAGCCTTCCAAAAATACAGCTGCCATTCATCTCCCACACGAGGGATTTTCCAGCTAATTCAGTTGCCATGGAGACAGACTGCCCAATAGAACCTTCCATGCTTTCCCATGGATGCCCTAAAGTCCCCTCCCACCCCCCAGCCGCTTGGTAAGTTTGGTATATAAACCTTAACTCGGGTTAGTCAGTGAGTTACCCATTACCGAACAACTCCCTGGTGTACATGTAAATAAACTTTGTCTTTTCTCCTGTTCATCTGTCTTTTCTCATTTTATTTGCAGGCCTCCAACCACTGGACCCAAGTTGAAAGAGGAAAAAGTTTTTCCTCCCAACAAAACCCGGACAACTTTGTTGTAGCCTATGAAGCCAGGCTATAGCTCAGTGGTCTAGCAGATCTATAACCTTGCATTTCAAGGACATTTAACCAAGTTAAGAATTTTATCAGACCCTTAGCAGGCCAGTGCTCTGGGCTTTACTTGGTCACTTGTCCTGAGTCAGATTCTTCCCCACAATATGCACTGGTTTCATTGTGGGGAGGGGCTCTAAATACTCTGGTGGGACAGCCAGACCCAAATGGCGCTGATGACGTCTCCATCCTTCTCAGTTGTTCAGGCTGAGAAGCTTGTAGTTATTCTTGACTTTTCTCTTTCTTTGACATCCCACGTCCATCTGGCAGGAAATCATGTTGGCTCTACTTTAAAAAGATATCCAGAATCTGACCAACTCCCACCACCTCCTCTGCTACCCCTATGGTCAGAGCTACCCTCACCTCTCGCCTGGACTTGGACAAATATCTCCTGACTCCCAGTTTCTATCCCATCTTAGCACAGCTGCCGCAGTGATCCTTCTAAAACCTGCATTAGATTCTGTCTCTCCTCTGCTCAAAACTCCCCAGGGGTAGCTCCTACTTCACTCAGAGTACCAGCTCCCCAGCTACCTGCTACCCCCCATCACTCTGCTCCTCCAACTCTGTCCCCTTGCTTGGCTCCAGCCACATGGGCTCTTTGATGCTCCTTGAACTTGCTCCTGCCTTAGGCTGCTGGACCTTTCTCTAGCAGTTCCCACTGCCTGGAATGCTCTTCCCCAGGTATCCACTTGGCTCACTTGCTCACCAATTTTGAGTCATTGCGTAAATCTCGCCATGCTATTTAATACTGCAACCCGCATGCACCTCTTGCCCTCCCCCATATACCAGGTTCCTCTTATCTGTCTTTTTTTCTTTTTTCCAACGTATTCATCCCTATATAATTCACTTATTTATTATGTTTATTGTTTGCCATCTCTCTTCACTAGGAAGTTAGTTCCACCAGGGCAGAAATCTGTTTTACCCAGTGATGTACCCAAATGCCTAGAACAGTGTCTGACAGAGAGTAGGTGCTCCACATACGTTTCTTAAATTAATGAAACTAGCCTCCTATGCTCATTCAGGGTAAGAGCTGAGTTTGGCTGAAAAAAAGTCCAGGAACTTTCTGGATAAGGTTTGTTATGGCCCCAGGGCCAGCAGTCATGTGCCCAGGCTTGGAAATTCCCCCAAGATACAGAGGAAGATGGACCAGATGAAATTCGGCAAACCCAGGGGAGTATTCAGCCAGACTTCCTTCCTGGGGGATGGGGGGTGGAGGGTGTGGCGGTGGGGAGGGAGGTGGGGTGTTTGTGGGGGTTCTGGTTAGATCCCATCATAGACAACAGCTGAGCTGTTTGTCACTTAAATGACGAAAGAAAGAGGAAATGGAGAGGGGGAGTCCGCAGCGGGGGTGAACAGTCACCTGGAATACCTCAGTTTGTAGGTCAAGCCACTGACTGCTAGAATGAGGAAGTGCCTCTCCCAGCCAGGTGGGGCAGAGCATGGCCCAGGAGGGAAGGGAAGTGGCAGAAAGGTGCTGCATTCTTGCTGGATTTCTCCTCCGTCTTCTCTTGGGGGAAGCCCCACGCTAGATCACAGGCTACCAGACAGGGCTGAACAGCTGTGGCCGTAACAGCTGTTACCCCGGCCTCCTCTCCCCACCTGAAACCCCCCAAGGGCAATCCATCCTCCATTTATAAAGCGAAGGACTGAGGTTGAATGGGAGGTTGGGGACTCAGCGTGTCAGCACTCTACAGATTAACAGTGTAGTTGGAACTGGGGTCCAAAATCCCTGACCTCAACTGTGGGGTTGTGTCCCAGATGACCCCCTCAGCGTCTTCTCATAGGATCTTCCTCCCTTACAGCCTGGAATGACTCCCTCCTCCTTCTAGGCAGGAGAGCCCTTTATCCAGTGCACGGTGAAGTTCTAGAAGACAGTGTCTCACGTCCAAAGCAGAACCTCAGACTGCATGGCCAAGAAGACTTCAGAGCTCTTGTTGACAGAGGCCCAGAGAAGGCAAATAACTTGTCTAAGATCACACAGCTCCTGGTCCACTGTTAAGGAAGAAGCTGGAAACAGAAGTTAGATTTTCTGATTCCGCTTTAAATTTCCTTCCAGCTGTGAGATTTTGATTTCTTGATGCCAATCCAGCAGCTCTCTACCCGGAGCTGCTTTCATCACAAAACGCTTGCCCTGAAATCCCCAAGGTACCCTGTCTGGCCACTGGGCTGTGGCTGTAACAGTTCCTGACCTTGGCTGCTTGAGGGGGTAAGATTCTTCTCTAGGGCATTTGGAAATATATCCTGCAGGCTCCTTCCCCTTCTTGTGGCCAAATCCCCTAAACTTCCCTAAGACCTCACCTTCACACTTCCCTCCTCCCATGTCCTGTGACTCAGACCAGCACACTTACCCTTTCCCTTCTCCCAGCCAGTGCCTTCCCCACCCGCACCTCCAGTCTGGCCCGGGGACAAGGTCCTGGCTCTGACGGGGAGGCAGAATCACAGGATGTGAAGATGGGAGGATGTTAGAGATCAGAGTCCTGCCCCACGCTGGAGAGCTCTATCCTCTAGACCTCAGGGCACTCTCCCTTCTCTCTATTGCTTGAGGATCGGAGTGGACGGTGGAGCTCTCATTTATTGAGCACCTAAGGTGTACATGTTTTCAATGAGCACCCAGTATGTAGCAGGCACTGTGTGAGAGCTTTACTATCTCATGTAATCCTCACCAAACAGCCCAGTGAAGTAAGAATTATGCCCATTTTACAGATTAGGAAATTGCGGTTCAGAAACATTCTTTAATTCACCCTAGATCATAGAGCAAATAACATCGAGGATTAGGAATGAAGCCCAGGTCTATCTAAGTAAAAGCCTAAGCCCCATGCACACGGATGGGGTGGGGGAAGTGTTGTGGGAAGGGGGAAATGTGTATGAAACACCATCTTCCACGGCCTCCCTGGCTGCGGCACCAAAGGAGTAAACATCAGTGTGGAAATGATTCTGTATCTTCAAATCAAACTTCAGAGAGGACAGGTCACTGGGCAATGGGGACAGGAGGGCTAGTTCACTGACAGCCTTTGATGTGCAACCTGCCAGCTCTCAGCCTGTGCCTTTGTGATCACCTGGCTGCAGCCTGGAAACTATCCAGTCATGCCAAGGCAGGTGGCCCGCCCCTCCTCCCTGGGTTGAGGAAGCAGGAAAAGGTGGCAGTGAGAGGCAGTGGGCGGTTTTGTGGGCAATGATGGCCGGAGCACCAGCTAGGATGGGCTTTCTCTGGAGCCTGGCGCTGCCCCTTTTCTTCTGCTGCTGGGTGGCCGGGGCCTTCGGGAGCACTGCAGGTAAGGAGGCAAGAGGGGGCCTGTGGGCTTCTCTCCTGGTAGGGCTCTGTGTGTGAGTTTCTCTATTCGCAGCCTTTGTGGGTGAGGGTAGCTCTCTTGGGTTAATTATAATTAATCACAAGGCTATATGTGGAATATTACTATTGTTGTACAAATGGCAATGTGTCAGCTCAGGCATGTACGATGATGCGGTCCGGTGTGTACGAATGAGCGACATCATTGTGAGGTCGCTGTGGGTGTGTCTTTATGCCTGTGGGGGTGTGTGTAAGTGGGGTGGGGAGGGTGGGGGGCCAGGTAGGTGTGGCCTGGTAATAAATCTGCCTAAAGCCAAAGAATGTGGCTTGGCAAGATTCTGACTCCTCCAGGTTTATTTCCTAGCACAGATTTCCTTTAAAAAACAATTTTTGTGTGAAAAGTGTGACTGTCACAGACTGCTTGGGGAGGTGGATTCTGCGAGAGGCAGGGCTTTTATGAAAGAAAAGAACTAACACTGATCTGTAACAGGAACTGTGCCAACCTTGTCACATGCATTATCTTTTTTTCTTAATAGACTTTACCTTTTTAGAGCCGTTTTAGGTTCACAGCAAAACTGAGCAGAAAGTACAGAGTTCCCATATACCCTCATGCACTATCGTTTTCTGTTTTTTGTGTTTTTTTTGTGGTGAGGAATATTGGCCCTGAACTAACATGTGTTGCCAATCTTCCTCTTTTTGCTGAGGAAGAATAGCCCTGAGCTAATATCTGTGCCCATCTTCCTCTATTTTGTATATGGGATACCGCCACAGCATGGCTTGATGAGCAGTGTGCAGGTCTGCACCTGGGTTCCGAACCTGCGAATCCCGGGGCCGCCAAAGTGGAGCCTGCGAACTTCACTACGCCACTGGGCCAGCCCCACTATCTTTTTAATCCTCACAATAACCCTATGAGAGAGATACGATTCTTATTCTTACCCTCCCCTCCGCCCCCTCCCTTAAAGGTGAGGAGACTGAGGCTTACCAGGATTAACTCATCTGCAGAGCCAGGATGTCATTCCACACATCCCTAACCATTGGTCCATACCACCTCCTGCAGGTACTCATGATCCACCAGGCTTGTGCTGCACATTTTGCATTTAATTTAATGTAATCTGCAGAACACTGAAATATGAAATATGAAATTGGGAAGCATGAGGAGGTGTCACAGCAGGGTGACACCAAGGGGCTCCCAGAAAAGGAAGAAAATGTGTTAGGGGAGGTCCGTGGTCAGACCCCAAGAGCACCATTGTTTGGGCTTCAGGCTGCGCGGGCTGACGCAGGCAGGCTCTGCCTCCACCACGTGGGGACGGAGGAGACTCAGAGCTAGCTCGGGCTCTGAAGTGGGGAGAAGAAAATAGAGGCCTGTAAAAGCGTGATTTGTGTGTGGTGAGACTGCACTGGACAAGTAAAGAGAGCGAATGCCCTGACCCACCTACTGTGCACGTGGGTACAGCCTGACATTCTCGCTGTATTCAAATAGGTCATGTGCTCTCAGGTGACTCCTTGTGAGGACGTGGTCAGGGAGGGATGCTTAATAACCCCTTGCAGGCTTGGGATACAAGAGCGTTCCTGTTCCCCTTCTCTTCCGGTCCTCACCACATGGCAAGGCAGGTATGTGACCCTCTTTCACAGGGAAGGAAATGGAGGCTAGAAGAGGTCTAGTGAGCGGCCGAGAGGGTAGGAGGCAGAGTCAGGATTCGAACCAGTACATCATCGGACTCCAGAGCTAGAAGGCAACAGACCTGGGGCTGAACCCAGTCTCTTGCTTCCTGGGCCGGTGCTCTTTCATTCTTCAGTGGGAGGCACAGGAGGACAAGCTGAGGACCTGGGGCCCGGTCCTGAAACCCTGGATAGAGGTGGCCAAAGGGTCCTGGACCTCCTTCGGGTCCTTGGGTACTTTTGGGCCAGTAGGTCTCAGTAAAGACTATTCCAAACCATCAGAATCCCCAAAAGAGGGGGTTATATTTTGATCCTTTTCCTTCCAAGAGTAGGGTTACTGGCTAAAACACAGGGCATCCACTTAAATTTGAATTTCAAGTAATGAAGTTTTTTTTAGTATAAGTATGTCTCAAATATTGCATGAGAAATACACATACTAACAAAGTTATTTGCTGTTAAAATCATTCCTTGTTTATCTGAAATTCAATTCAAAATTAACTGGGCATCCTGTTAATTATCCTTTTTTTATTTGTGAAATCTGGCAACTGTCCTCAAGAGGCTCCTTGAGAGAGAGCCCGTCCCCCTCAGTAGACAGGGGAGGCACCGTTGTCAGCCATAAAAGATCCTGCTGTAGCCTCCGCTGAGGTGGTGAGTGCCCGCTGGCCCTCCATTCACACAACCTCAGAGGGTCAGTCAAGTGAACAGAGACGTTCCACCCTATGGAGAAATGCCAGCAGCATCTCTCTAAAAAAAAGTGAAGTTTTGCCTCACCTGGCTCCCTGTTACGTGTGGAAAGTGCCTGGTACATCCTTTCTGTCGTTCTAGTGTTCCGTCCCTGTTGTCTCAGGCCCACGTTCAGGAGAGGCTTGCGCGGGGATGGGAAGCTTGCCCATTTTCCCTTGCTAGAGCCCCACGGACTCTGCCTGCTGCCTTCCCTTCTGTGGCAGCCACTACCCACACTGTCTCTGGAGGTTTCTCTCCCCTAGTCCTCTCAGCTACCTTTAAACACAAAACCACTGATGTCTCTTGTATTTGAAAGGTTTTTTACTTCCATGGGGAAACATTTGATGGATGAGAAAAGTATCCATGGGAAAGTGACAAGGATTCTTTCAGAAGATTTTGAGAGTCGTGGTCCCTGCTCTGCAGCTCTTGGCTCACTTGGACTTCTGCCCTCTTTGCTCCCCCTTGAAGCTGGATCCTGACCCTGCACACCCTCTCTGATGGCTTCAGACCAATACTCAACCAGATTCTGGGGCTTGCTTGGCTCCAGTGGGCCATCAGAGGACATCAGTCAGGGTGGTCCCAGTTCCGGGCTGCCATATGGGACCTCCTGATACTACCTCCTTCTTCCTTGTATATATATATAAAAGCGACTCCCTCTCCCCACTTCCTCCCAGCAGTGCCCAGGCCATAAACAGGAGAGCTTGTGTGAAGTCAGTCCACTGGGATCATGGCTCACAAAGATGGTTTTGCCCAATACAGGCCCCAGCACCAGCGGACCAGGCCCTTTGGTGACCATGAACCACACAGAAGTGCCTGCTGTGACTCCAGCGCTCAGGACAAGCTCAGAAGGAGCCTTCCAGACCACCGACCTCGGCGAGACCTCTGTGCCAAGCCACGTCCCTCTGGAAACTCAAATCCTGAGCACCCAGACCTCTGAGAGGACCTTAATCCCGGGCAGCACCATTTCAGAAGCAGAGACCGGGGAAACCAAGGCCATTTTTCTTGCAACAGAGACCAGGGCCCTCACAAAAATAACACCTTCCAAGTTCATGGTTGTGATCACCACTCCTGTGGAGACATCAGCCACAAGTGACAACCCCACAGGAAGAACTGGAATGACCGCAGTGCAGACTGTCATAGGCAGTGATCTCTTGAGAGCTGCTGTTGACACCCTTTGTTCTGATGACAGCTCTGAAGAGGCAAAGAGGATCACACCTGACGTCTTGACATTGGCTCGCGCCCCCGCAGAAGCCGAGGCCCTGGCCTTGAAGGACAGTGCCTTCTCTGCCAGCTCAGTTCCAGCCACCACCACCTCACAAGCCCTGGTACCTGACACCACAGCTCCGGCTAAAGCCTTGGTTGCCTCCGCCAACACTGACATTGAGGTTACCAGTGGCAGCGATATAGAAATTGAAACAACTGCCACCATCCCTGGGACCTCAGACGTAGATCACAGCCCCACAGGAGGAAAGGCCCTGTCCACCCCTGAGATGTCAGCTTTGCCCAACTCCACTGAAGCAAAATCACACCTCACTGAGCCCACAACCTCGGCGGAGACCTTGTCTACAGCTGGTGCCACAGAATCAGCCACACCTGATACCACAGTTGAGACCCCATTCACTGCTAATAGCACCACAGAAGGAGCAACAACAGCAGCCAAGGCCACCAGCCCCAGTGGAACTTTGGCGACAGTCAGCATGAATCCCTGGGAAGAAATCTCAGTCCTCTCTGCTGATACAACAAGCCACACTGAGGTCTCAGGAGCACTTACAATGTCCACAGAGGCTGGGTCAACAGTGGGCAAAGTGACTTCCCCTGCCACGGTTTACAGCCTCTCTGAAGCAGCCACCATCAAGAGCTCCACCCCCAGAGAGACTTCTACCACAGACAGCACAACCAATGGGCCAATCCCCATCAGCAGCCTCTCTGAAGCAGCCACCATCAAGAGCTCCACCCGCTCAGAGACCTCTACCACAGACAGCACAACCAATGCGTCCATCCCCATCAGCTGCCTCTCTGAAGTAGCCACCGTCAAGACGTCCACCCCCTCAGAGACTTCTACCACAGACAGCACAACCAATGGGCCTGTCCCCATCAGCAGCCTCTCTGAAGTAGCCACCGTCAAGAGCTCCACCCCCTCAGAGACTTCTACCACAGACAGCACAATCAATGGGCCCATCCCCATCAGCAACCTCTCTGAAGTAGCCACCATCATGAGCTCCACACCCTCAGAGACTTCTACCACAGACAGCACAACCAACGTGCCCATCCCCATCAGCAGGAGCCCTCTTTCTTCTGTCCATCTGACTACAGCCTACAGCAGCCAAGAAACAAACATCACCTTAGCCAAGAACACAGCCTCAGCGAAAACCTTGAAGACAGCCAGCACCGCCAGAGGGAAGCCCCCAACAGCCATGCCCCCTACTGCTCAGACAAGGTGGACCACAGAAGTTACTGCAGGTAAATGGCTCCCCCATGTGTGATCTTTGGGGATTTGGGGTTTGGAGACTCCAGGATATCTACACGCTTAAGGAGCAGGAAGGAAGGAAGGATCTGGGTGCCTATTCTGAATCCTGTCTCTGGTGTCGCCTCTTCATGATCTTCTAGTGGTTCTTGCCAAAATCAGTAACAAGCAGAGTTAGGGTGGTGTATGGAAAGAATACCGGGCTGGAAGTTTGGAGAAATGGATTGAGATCTTGGCTCTGTTCTTAACAACTTGAGTGATCTAGGACAGGTCCCTTTCCCTCTCTGGGCCTCAGTTTCTCCACTAGTAGCTGGAGGGGGTTGCAATGGATAGCAATGAGGTCCTTGCCAGCTCAGCCCTTCTGTGAAGTTAACTGTTAAGCAACTAGTCTGCACCAGGGAAGGCCCCACATTTTATTTAAAAGACACAGCGCTCATGCTCTAGAAGCATCTGCTTCAGCCAGAGCCACACAGAGGGGCAACATGTGGGCATCTGACCCAAGTTGCTGCCCTCTGAGCAGCTGAGACCCCATGAAAGTAGGGCTCGCTGGATGTACTTGCTGAGGTTGGTGCCATAGATGGTGACTTAAAATGAATTAATCAACTGGGTAAATGTTTGGGAGTTTAAAGCTACTTCTCTGAGACAACAGATAATTCTCAGGGAAGAAGTCTCCTGTCAGAGGCTGCTTGGTCAGCCTACTCCTGGTCAGCCCGTAGTCTCCACCTCCACTTCCCTCACTCTGTCCTCATACCTAATCCCTGCGGTATCTACAGCTTGCCCTGCCTTTCTGAGGAGGTGAAATAAAAATACTAATCACGATCACCTTACTGAGTATCTTTTGTATTCCAGGCAGAGGGGATATAAAAATATTTCACAACCGGTAAACATTGGCACCAGCTGAATGTTCTCTCTGATGCCAGGCAGTGCACTATGAGCTTAGCATATGGTATCTCCTCTAATTAAACTTTCCAAGCCACCTTATGAGGTGGGTATTATTACCCCATCTGACAGCTGAGGAAACAGATTTAAAGACGGTAAAAGACGACAGTGGGATTCCAAATGAAAGTCTGTTTGATTCCAAAACTCATAGTCTCCTGTTGTGCTTTTATTTTTAAAAGCCCATTTTATTAATATATTTTTATTTTAAAATAGTTTTCTTTATTATTTGTTGATTAGATGATACATTCACATGATTTAAAATTCGATAGGTAAAAATGGTACACCATGCAATGTCTTCTCCCAGTGCGGTCCCCCAACTACCCAGTTTTCCTCTCGCACATAACCGATGGTATCACTTTCTTGTGAATCCTCTTCTGGGCATGAAATATGCATATGGAAATGGAGCATATGATAAACACAGATCTCTGAGATGAAGCCATTCTTTTTTTTGGGTATGTGAGGAAGATTAGCCCTGAGCTAACTTCTGTTGCAAATCCTCCTCTTTTTGCTGAGGGACATTGGCCCTGGCTAACATCCATGTCCATCTTCCTCTACTTTATGTGTGGGACGCCTGCTGCAGCACGGCTTGATAAGTGGTGCATAGGTCCGTGCCCGGAATCCAAACCTGCAAACCCTGGGTTGTTGAAGTGGAGTGCGCAAACTTAACCACTGTGCCACCGGGCCAGCCCCTGAAGCTATTCTTTTTCATGGCTGCTCAGTATTCCATTTTGTTTTACCTTAATTTATTGAACTAGCCCTCTATGGATGGACATTTAGGTTGTTTCCAGTTTTTGTTATGACAAACAGTGCTGCAGTAAATCGTACATTTTCCACATGTGTATTATATTCTGTAGAACAAATTTCTAGGAGTTCAACTGCTGGATCAGTTCTACTGTGTTCTGTTAGGAAGAAATGACTCCAAGGTGGCAGGTAGAGGCAAGCCAATTAGAGCTCAACAAAACACAGAACTTGCCTACAGATCTGCTAAGTCGGGAAGGCTGGATTCAAAAACCTCCACCAATTTAGAGCTGGAAGAATTGGCTGAGGGCACCCCTCAGAGAGCCGCCTCTCTCTTGCATTCTTCTCAGCTGGGTCCTTTCCCAACAGCCCCATCCAGGACCTCTAAGCCTTGAGAACATTCTAGATCCACTCTCATTTCTCCTTCCTCACACTACTCTTTTGAGTTCTCTGAATGTGGATGGGGCCTTTAGCCATAATTTCCTTCACTCCTGTTGGGAAGACACTACAATGGGCCTGATTATTGGAGAGGGAATCCTCTTTCTCTTTGCAGTGAGTAAATGTGAGATCCCATCTGAACATAGACACATTGACATGTGAGAGTGAGCACATATGTGCAGAGGAGAACAGGGGCTGGGCAGCACAGTCACGTCTTGATTCCTGAACTGACTTACCTGTATTTTCATCTTCCTACTGTTCTCAACTTGCAGGTGGGGATGGAGGCTTCCTCCTCCTGCGGCTAAGTGTGGCTTCCCCAGAAGACCTTACTGACCCCAGAGTGGCAGAGAGGCTGATGCAGCAGGTGAGTGGGCACTTTCTGGGCCAGGGGAGTAGAGGAGAGTGAGAGGTTCTTGGAGGCTCTGGGGAAGATCTTCAGGATACAGAAGAGCAACTGCTGCACTTGGGTGGGATCTAGTTTCTCCTGGGGTATTAGGAGCTAAATCTAAGGATCCTGGCCTGGCTTTGCTTCTGCCTGTTTTTCCTGAGTTCTGAATTTCCCTTCTCTGCTATGTAAAAAAACTCTTTCCCTCACTGCCAATTTCCTCAGGCCCTAGGAAGTTCAGGCTCTCTGGCCCCTGGGAGAAGGTCAATGATATTAATGGGCAGGCAGGACTTTTAGTTGTAAATGGCAGAAACCTAACTCATTGTAGCTTACAGAGAAAAGGCAAGGTATTGGCTGAGAAACCTAGAAGTGGCTGTGCCAACTTCAGTCATGGCTGGATCCAGCAGCTCAAACATGATCATCAGGATTTTCTTTTTCTCTCTCTCTCTTCACTCTGCTCCCTTCATTCTTCAGAGTCTCTCTCCATATGTAAGGAAAGGTGGCTGTGATAGCCCAAGATTCACAAGGTATTTCCTTCTCCCAAGATCTGCATATCATACTAAGGAAGGACTGATCTCACTGGCCTGCAAGAGCCACCATGAGTGACAGCATGACCTGAACCACGTGGAATGGGAAGGACAGGCCCCAAAGGAAATAAGGATGCTAGGCAGAAAATATCCCATAGATGTACACTCTAGATGCGGAACAAGATCGGGATATATTCGTACAACAAGTAGGGAAAATTCTCCTAAAATCCAGATCACTGGACAAAGCTTCCAGTGGTGAAATTCAGGAATCAAGGCTTTGGGGGTTGGTGTGAATCATTGCAAGGTTAGAATAGGTCAGCTCAGCCTAGCTCTTGGGCCCACATCTTGCTGCTGGGGGACGGGAAGAAGGAATATCTGGGCCCTTGAAGTTCTCTTAGTGGAAAGGGGGCCCATTGGGACTCCCATAATAAGGAGTTCTCTGAACATGGCACGGGGTTTTGAAGGAGGACAGCCAGATAAATGACAAATACCCACTGCACATGATAGTCAAAGTAGCAAGTGTGAGTCCTAATCTAAGAGGGAAGCCAGGGTTGTGTCAGATCTGAGCCCCCCAAACTGGAAGCTATTTCAGGGGTCAGAAAGAAGTCAGGGAGATGGGAGCAGGTCAGGAGCTGAGGTGCAGGAGCCAGGCCATGGGGGAGTTGGGCATCAGTTCTCGTTAGGCGCTGGCCACTGGCACAGGGCTCAGGGCTCAGAGAAACAAGCAGCTTTGGAGCCAGACAGATCTGGGTGTGCATTCCATTTCCTAACTGTGTGACCTTGGGTAAGTGACTCCATATTACTTTTTTCCCTTATAAGACGAGTCTAGTACTACCTGCTTTATAGTACCTCACAGTAACCCTACGACACAATGTGCGTGAAGCACCCAGCCCAGGCCCAGCCTGCGGGAGGCTCAGGAAGTGCTGCTGTCCTCCTCATCCGTTCTCTCCTGCTGTCCCTTCCTGTCCTTGGCCTGTGGTGAGCTCACGGGCCATATGCGCTGGAAGCACCACCTGCTCCTCTTGCCCTCCAGCTCCGCCGTGCACTGCAGGCCCACACGCCTCCCAGCCAAGTCTCCCTGCTGCGCGTCAGGAGAGGCTGAGGAACACCAGCTGCGGCCAGGCATGGCCGCGTGCCAAAGGAGGACAAAGCTGCCTACAGCCTAGGCCTGGCCTGGAGCCATGTTCCTGCGCTGAGATGTACCTGGAAAGTTCCCACGGAGGTCAGCTGGCCTAAGCCCTTACCCCAGACCTGGTAGCGGGACCCTGGCTCACATTGGCCTGACTGCATGTGGGTGGGGATGGGGGCTGCCCTGTTCCAGAGATGTCCTTGGACTTCCCTTGGCACATGTGCTGTGTTTCAGTAAAGAGTGACCTGATCACCCACCTGTCGCCCACTGTGTGCTTCCATTCTACATTAAAATTACACTCAGTGTGGCCCAGAGGTCATCTATTTGACCTGCATGCTTTTTGACATTGTATGACACAGGGATTTTGTGCATCCTCACTGCTGCCTCCCTCCTTCACGCTCCCCAGCTCTTGGTTTGCACCTTGATTACAGCACTTACTGAGGCTGGCCCTTAAGCCTGCTGAACTGTGAACCCCTTCAGAGCAGGGACCCTACTTGTTTATCTCGGTGTCCCCCGAACCTAGCAGTGTGCCTGGCCTGCAGTAGAATCATAGAGAATGTTGAATTGACTTGAATTTCAAGTTCTGGATGCAAGCAGATTTAAAAGAAAGTCTGCAATACTCAATTATTCCTTCCCCATAGCTCATAAGTCATGTTACTATTTTTTAAGTTAGATGTAGCTTATTTTTTTCTGTTGTAAAAGTAAAACTTATTCATGATTTTAAAATTTGAAAAATTCAAAAGGACCAAGAAAAAAAAAAAGAAATGGGAAGAAGAAAATATTTCTAAAATCCCACCTCTTGTATACGATTAATGTTAATGTATATATTCAACCTCTCCACTTGGTCTAAGAGATACCTCAGGTTCAACATTTCCAAAATCAGAGTCCTAATCTTTTCACCTAAACCTGCTCTGGCTGCACCTTCCTCATCTCAGTTAACGTCCGTGGCATCCTTCAGTTGCTCAAGCCCAAATCCTTGGAACTCTCTTATTCCTGTTTCTTGCTGAATTTTACATCCAATTCATCAGGAAATTCTGTTGGCTCTACCGTCATCAAAATATGCCCAGAATCTGCCCCCTCCTCACCAGCTCCACTGCTCTCACCTGGTCAAAGCTGCCATCATCTCTCACTTGGATTACGAATATCCTCCTAACAGGTCTCCCTGTTTCTCCCTTTGCCCCCTACCCCCGGTCTAGTCCCAGTACATCAGCCAGAGATGTCTTTTTATAATGTAAGGCAGACCATGTCACTCCTTTGCTCCAAACTCCCATTTCATTCAGAGAAAAAGCCAAGTTCCTATGATGGCCTGCAAAGCTGTGCACAATCTGCAGCCCTCCACCAGCCGCTCTAACTTGCTCACTGCACTCCAGCCGCGCTGACTTCCTGGCTGTTCCTTGAATGCATGCTCCTGCCTTGGGACTTCCGCACGTATTGCTCGGTCTGCTTAGAATGCTTCTCCTCTGGATATCCACTCAGCTGACTCCTCCACCTACTTAACCTGCTAGTGGTCTGCCCCACCACACTCCTCCGCTTTGATTTTCTTCATAACACTGATCACAACCGAACATAACACATATTTTATGTGTCTGTCTTGTTTACTGTCTATCTTCCTCGACTTGCATGAGTTTGCTCACTGCAATCTCCCTAGTCTAGGACAGTGCCTGGCACATAAAAAGTGCTCAGTAAATATTTGTTAAATGAATGAAGAAACAACAAGACAACTTGGATATTGCTCTCAACGAAGGGAGTATGTGTATTTGATTGACCCCCGTCCTCTTGCAGAGTGGGGCAGAATGAGTTCTATAAAGTGGGTTGGACAAAAATAATTCAAACATTCATCCCGGCATGTTTGTTGAGCCCCTACAATAGAAGAGAGACTATGTTGTGTTCCATGGGGGATTCAAAGATGTCTCTTCTCACAGGGATTACAGTTAGTAGAGGAGGTTAGACATGTACAGAAATAACGATCTGAAAAAACTTATTTACTCCGTATATGGAAAAACCAGAATGTCCTTAATATACAAAATGCTCTTACAAAGCAATAAAAAGGCAAACATACCAGTAGAAAAGTGAGCAAATGGTAAGAACAGGCAATTTACAAAAGAAGGAATATAAGTGCTTTTTTCCATGAAAAAGAAACATTGCCTTCACTAGCAAAAAAAAGGTACAATGTGAAATCGCTTATTGTGTGTCAATAGGTAAAGATTTATAAAAATTATAAAATCCATATTGAGGAGGGTGTGGGGAAAAGGGCACTCTTAAACACTGCAAGTGTGAATGAAATTGGTGCCTCCTTTCTGGAGGACAATTTGACTATTTATCTAATGCCTTAAAAATGTGCGTTCCTTTAACCCAGCAATTTCCTTCCTAAGAGTTTATCTTAAGGAAATAATTAAGAATCTGTGCAAAGATCAACAAATAAATATGTTCATTACAGAACTGTTTATAACAGCCAATAAAAGAAAAAGACAAAACACAAATAAGATATCCTGAGGTAGCTCTTTACTTAATAATAGAGTTATTTTATACAATCTATAGAAGTGTCGTTGAGATGTATATTTATTAACATGGAAAGAAGTTCGTGACATATTATCCTGTTCTCTTTTATTTTCCTAAGATGAAACCATCTTTTTTTTTTTCTCTCCAAACTACTCTTCACACTGTCTCCAGAGCTTTCCTCTCCAAAATCAAAGCTAGTCCTGTTCCTACCTACGGGATGAAATCTGCAGCTTTGTAAACAAGGGTCTTTGTGATATGACCTTGGCCAACATTCTCGGCTCTGTGTCCTATGGCCCCATCTCCTGTATCCGATGTTCCTTCCACAGGGAACTTCTCAATACTTCTCAGTTACACCTGCTTTGACTCAGAGTGTTGGCACACCATGATTCCTGCCCCTGGAATTTTCTCCCTCCCTCTGGTCCCTTCGTCTGGGAAACTCCCATTCATGCTTAGAGCCCAGTTCATTCAGCACCTCCTCATCGTGGCTTTCCTCAAATTCCCCAAAGAGGAGCTAGTTTTGTAGTCTCTTTATGTTTCTGTTGTAACACTTAACATGCTTTATAATGATTTATTTATTTACAAGTTTGTTAAATAATACATGCTTTAGGACTAGTGCCATGCAGTATTCATCTCTGTCGCCACAGAACCTAGCACAGCCCCAGACATGGAGGGCACTCAAATGTTTGCTAAATGACTGAAATGATGGCCACGTGGGCAGACAACCGTGAAATATGGGCAGTGGGCTCTGAGAATTAAAAAAATGGCATTCAGTGTTGAAGTCAAACAAAATACAAACTTAATGATATAATTATTATTAAGCTACACTGTAAGTAGGCATGAATGGAGAGCAGTTTGCATAGATGACTATAACACCACCGTTATATAAATCCAATTCTTAAATAGTTTTTCTTTTCTTGCTTTGCACTTATTCAAATCGGTGATACCTGATAAAATGGATAATTTAACCTTAATTACATATGTATAAGGACATACATGTACATACAATGCTAATTACTGTTATTATTGGAAGCCAAAAAATTTCTAAACCATGGGATGCATTTGGGAATTAAAGTGTATAATAATGTTTACGTGTGTGTGTTTGTGTGTGCGTGTGAGAGAGAGGGAGAGAAAGGGAGAGAGAGAGAGAGAGGGAGAGAGAGAGAGACAGAGAATGAGAATTACTAAAGGTGACCCAAGTCAATGGAAATAATGTTACCAAACCAGCAAGAACCAGAAGTGCCTGGAGGGAATTCTCCGGTTACTTAAGATTCAAAGGTGTGTGTGTATGAGGAGAAAATGCCACATATTTCACAAAGACAAAGGTGGGTGTGGACCCAAACCAGATGGCCTGTCTAAAGTCACCTGTGACTCAGCACAGACTCAGAAGGCAAAAATGCAAGGCCATGATGAGGACAACGTGAGGTGGAACTTTTCTGACAAGAGACTTCAACAGAAGCTTCTGCCACAGCCAGTCCTTCCCTAACTCCTTGTGAGGGGGACTGGCTGCCAATGAGCGGAAGGCAGTGAATGGTAACTAATTCTATGGGTGTGCCCTAAATTCAAGGGAGTGGGCATCGTTTTTGATATCAATAAATATTTCCATTGGTATATCATGCCAGTTACCTATTTATTCATCATCCTGGTCATTAAAAGCTGCTTGCCTCAGGCCCACAGAGTTTCTAGAAGGCTCTTTTGAGAACAGGGAAAGATGGGCAAGGGAATCTGTGTCTCTGGCCAAGCATCTTCCCAGACAGCTCCCTTTGCCTCCCAGCGTCCACTGAGGGTGTCTCAGCTGCCTGCCACCAGGGGTGGGCGTGGGTGGTCTGCCTCCTCCTCTCTGCCAAGCAAACACATGCCTGGAACCCTGAAGAAGGGCCCGTCAGTTCCTTATTCCAGGTGCATAAGTGACAGACTCCAAACCACACAGAGCCAGGGAGTGAGCTGATGAAGATTTACGGTTGTGTGTGCTTGATCTAACTGCACCATTCACAGAGAGGCCTTTCCTCCCAGCCAGAGGAGGGTGTCCCCTACAGACACTGTCTTATTTTCCCATGACACCCTTCCTCTACAAGCCCAGCGCTTCATCCATTTTGACTAGGTTGACAGATAAAATACAGGTCACCCAGTTAAATTAGAACTTCAGATAAACAATGAATACTTCTTTAAATATATGGATGTTCCAAATATTTCATGGACATTCTCATACTAAAACATTATTTGTGATCTATCTGGAATTCAAATTTAACTGGGCTTCTTGTATTTTTATTTGCTAAATCTGACAACCTCACTTTTAACGCCTCCTCACCCACCAGTGTCCCCACCTCTTCTCTTTTCCCAGTCTGTGGGTCTCCTTCTGCTGTAGCAAGCCCCCAACCTTCTCTTAGACTTTGGACATCTCCACCGCCTCCTGCAAGATTGTCTATCGCACATGTTCTGTCTTCCTACTCCCCTTCCATTGCTCAGTGGGAGGAGAAGAAGCTTAGCGTCTGAAGATAGATGTGAGGAAAGGACTTTGGGTATGGGGTGGCCCTGCTCCCCATTTGTCACCTTGCTTTTGTTCTTTCAGGTTTCCCTTCCCCACGTTTGATGAGACAAAGTGTCTATAACTACCATGTCTTGCACAGCATGGTCAATCCCTTGCCACGAGTCCTCAACTGGGTCTAGGATGAGATGTAGCTTTTGGACCTTATGCTAAAAGACAGCCTTCCCCTCCCTGACCTCGAGTCACATTTCAAAGTGCTCATCCCATTACTTAGTCTTGGGATTGCAATGGTCAGGGCAAGGGCAGTCTCACCAGTCCACCATGCTTGCATTGGCCCTCTCTCCTTGTTCTACATTCCCTTCTTTCTAACTGCTGGACAATGCCCCCCACTTCACACCCACTCTCTCCCCAGTGCCATATGTGCCGTGAAAATTAATAAATGAAAACCTCATTTAAAATTGAGTCAGGAGGCCAGAAGATAGAACTTTCATGCACATGCCACTTAACACACACTATAGACTCCAACAGGAAGAGACTTACCTTGCATCTCCCACAGGAGGTGATACTACTTACTACCCCAGCAGAAGGAAGGGAGAAATTCCTCCTTGCCTAGCAACAGCTCAGCCAGAGAGACTTACATAACTCAGCCAATGAAAAGCCACCACACTTAGAACTCCCAGTCTCCTCCAGTGGACTCTTCCTTTACAACAGCCCTCCCAACATCATAAAAGAACATTTCTCTCCTTTGTTTCTCTGGATTTGCCTGTGGTTCACCACAGACCGCATGTCCTGTATTGCAATTCTTTGCTGTTCCCCGGTAAACCCATTCTGCTGGTGAAATAACTGGCTGTTTACTTGTTTTAGGTCAACAGTGCTTAATTATTTTTATTTAAATTTTTATTTTTTAAATTAATAAACTTTATTTTTTTAAGAGTAGTGTTATGTTCACAGCAAAACTGAGCCAAAAGTACAGAGTTCCCACATATCCCCTTCCCCCCACACACTTACAACCTCCTCCACTATTAACATCCCCCACCAGAGTGCATTTGTTACAATTGATGAACCTACATCATTATCACCCAAAGTCCATAGTTTACATTAGGGTTCACTCTCGGTGTTGTACATTCTACGGGTTTTGACAAATGTATAATGATATGCATCCACCATTGTAACATCATACAGAGTATTTTCACTGCCCTAAAAATCCTCTGTGCTCTCCCTATTCATCCTTTCCTCTCCTCTAATCCCTAGCAACCACTGATCTTTTTACTGTCCCCATAGTTTCGCCTTTTCCAGAATGTCATTCTTGGAATCATAAGGTATGTAGCTTTTTCAGCTCAGCTTCTTTCACACAATAATATGCACTTAAGGTTCTCCATGTCTTTTCATGGCTTGATAGCGCATATCTTTTTAGTGCCAAATAATATTCCATTCTCTGGATGTACCATAGTTTATCTAGTCATCTGTTGAAAGACATCTTGGTTACTTCCAAGTTTCGGCAATTATGAACAAAGCTACTATAACCATATGTGTACAGGTTTTTGTGTGGACATAAGTTTTCTACCTCTTTAGGTAAATACCAAAAAGTGCAATTGCTGGATCATATAGTAAGAGTATGTTTAGTTTTGTAAGAAACTGTCAGAATGTCTTTGAAAGTGCTGTACCATTTTGCATTCCCAGCAGCAATGAATGAGAGTTCCTTTTGCCCCACATCCTTACCAGCGTTTCGTGTTTTCAGCGTTCTAGATTTTGGCCATTCTAAGAGGTGCACAGAGGTATATCATTTTTTTTCTTTTGGTGAGGAAGATTGGCCCTGAGCTAACATTTCTTGCCAATCCTCCTCTTTTTGGTTGAGGAAGACTGACCCTGAGCTAACATCTGTGGCAATCTTCTTCTATTTCGTATGTGGGTCACCACCACAGCATGGCTTGATGAGTGATGCAGGTCCACGGCCAGGAACCAAACCCAGGCCACCAAAGTGGAGCACGCTGAACTTAACCACTAGGCCACGAGGCTGACCTATCGGGGTCTATTGCTGGGCTTTCTCTTCTGTTCTACTGATTTATTTGTCTGTTCTTTTGTCAACACCACACTGTCTTGATTACTGTAGCTTATAAAGTACTTAGCTTAAAATTAAGTCTTGAAGTTGGGTAGTGTAGGTCCTCTGACTTTCTTTTTCTACTTCAATGTTGAGTTGGCTATTCTGGGTCTTTTGCCTCTCCATATAAACTTTAGAATCAGTTTTTCAATATCTATAAATAATTTGCTGGGATTTTGTTTGGGATTGCATTGAATCTATAGATCAAGTTGGGAAGAACTAACATCTTGACCGTATTGAGTCTTCCTATCCATGAACATGGAATATCTCTCCATTTATTTAGTTCTTTGAGATCGTTCATCAGTTTTGTAGTTTTCCTTATATAGCTCTTGTACATATTTTGCTAGATTTATACCTAAGTATTTCATTCTGGGGGTTGCTAATGTAAATGGTAATGTGTTTTTAATTTCAAATTCCATTTCTTCATTGCTGGTATATAGGAAAGCAATTGACTTTTGTACGTTAATCCTGTATCCTACAACCTTGCTATAATTGCCTATTAGTTCCAGGAGCTTTGTTTTGTTTTGTTTTTTATCGATTCTTTTGGATTTTCTACATAGATGATCATGTCATCTGTGAACAATGACAGTTTTATTTCTTCCTTCCCAATCTGTGTACATTTTATTTCTTTTTTTTGTCTTATTGAATTATTTAGGATTTATAGTATGATGTTGAAAAGCAGTGGTGAGAGGTGAGATTCTTGCCTTGTTCTTGACCTTAGCTGGAAAGCTTTGAGTTTCTTATCATTAAGTTTGATGTTGCTATAGGTTTTTTGTAGATTTTTTTTTATCTGTGGAAGTTCCTAGTTTGCTGAGAGTTTTCATCATAAATGGGTGTTTGATTTTGTCGAATGCTTTTTCTGCATTTATTGATGTGATCAATTGATTTTTCTTCTTTAGTCTGTTGATGTCATAGATTACATTAATTGGTTTTTGAATGTTGAACCAGCCTTGCATACATGGGATAAATACCACTTGATTACAGTGTATAATTCTTTTTATTCATTGTTGGATTTGATTTGCTAATATTTTGTTGAGGATCTTTGAATCTATGTTCATGAGAGATATTGGTGTATACTTTTCTTTTTTTGTGATGTCTTTTTCAGGCTTTGGTATTATGGTGATACTGGCCTCATAGAATGAGTCAGGAAGTATTCCCTCTGCTTCAATCTTCTGAAAGAGATTATAGAGAATTGGTAGAATTTCTTCCTGAGATGTTTGGTAGAATTAACCAGTTAACTGATTTGGGCTAGGTGCTTAATTTTTGATAAATGAATACTGGGATAAAATGAATGTGGTTTTATATGGAGACTTGATTACACTTTGGGGCATTTGAGGGTAAAGCCACAGCCTTGTACACATGAGAGGGGATTCATCTGTTAGGAGAAGTCATTCTCTATGTAAAGCAGACTGTTTGGAGTCGCTGCTCAGATCAAAGATCATGTTTCTCTGGGAACTTTCTCCAACACCACTTGTTCACTTACAAGAGTGAGCCTGAGCACCAGGTTTGTGACATGTGACCTCCTTTCCTACCCTATGGCCACACTTGATTGGACCAGGGATGGACAATTGACATAAGCTGGACCAATCAGATTCTCTCTTCACTGATTTGGGATTTAGGACCAAATGGCAGGTACCCAGTTTCTGCATAGAGTTGGAATTGAGGTGCTCTAGACACAGGCATTGTGGACCAGTTGTTGTTGGAGTCGTTACACCAGGTAGGTGTAAAGTTCTGCCTGCTAGGAGAGAAGGACAAGGTGGAAACTGATCAGGTTGCTGGAAACAAGCAGAGTGGGGCTGAGGAACTGTGGGGTGGAGAAGCTCAAAAGACTCTGCCTGGGGCCCAGGGAAGGTCAGAAAAAGTGTATCAGGGGTTGCATACCCCAGGTCTAAGGATGGGGTGGGTGGCATGCTTCTCGAGTTGGTTCACGGTAACGGAGCTGAAACGGCTTAACCCCTCCTCCAGGGAACACAGGCAGTGGGGACAGGAACCAAACAGGAAAAGGCACTGCGTATTTATACTCTTGAAACTGATGGACAAAGACCAGCAAGGAGGGAGGGGTCCTCGGAGAGAGTGGGGGATGCTCCATATGGGGGCATGTCTACCATCCTCCTCAGAAGCCATGGCCTTGGCTTGTGTTGCCGGGAGGGGAAGAAAGTGATGTGGAGGCTGAAGTGAGGATCCAAGTCTGGGCTGGAGCAATTGAACTTCCCGACATGGAGTAACTGAGGGCTGAAGCAGGACTGGGTCCAACCCACCTCTGCTCCTCCACCCCCTGTGCCTAGCCCTTCAGCCACCAGAGGAAAATCACGAATGGAATCCATGGCTTTGGAAACACAAGTCAGAAAGATTTTACTTAAATAGACTTTAATTAGAAGTAAACTGAAGAGTTTTGAGTGCAAATGCATTTTGGTTTTTAACTTAGAGCCATCACCCCATTATTAACTCCGGTATGTGCACGTGTGTGCGTGTGTGTGTGTGTGTGTAGGTCAGTGTCCTCGTGGGTATGTTTGTGTGAGAATCCATTCATTTATGTAGCAGGTCTTTATGGCCTCTTCCTGTCCGCCTCTGAGTCTACTGACAAGGTATGGTCTTGTCTTTATTATTATTCATTCCCATTATTTACTCTCTTCGAAGAATCCTGAATCGCTTTCAGTCACCTTCCTTTTTCCAGTCTCCCCAAAGCCAGGGCGCCTGGAAGTGGGCAGGTGAGGCTGGGGTGGGTCCTGAGGTATCTAGGCCACAGCTGCCCCTTTGGGGCGAGGCCTCAGCTTTCCGAGTCCAGGGGGTAGGAGTACTGTGCCCCGGAGCAGCCCCAGAAGCGCAGGACCAGAAATACCACGACCCCCAGCAGCAAGAGGGCGCCCAGGGCCCCAAACAGGATCCCGAAGAAGGCGCCGAGTTTCATGCTCAGGTGCTCACAGCGCTCGCCCCACGGCGTGTAGATGGAGAAGGGCACACACCTGGGGACAGAGAGAGGGGACGCGATCAGCAGCGGGGGAGGCGGGTTCCCAGCCTCCCCAACCCCTCCCCTGCGCCCGGGCCAGACGAGGTTTTCCCCAACAGGCCGGGCCCCTCTCTGGGGAAAGAGGCGGAGTCAGCCCTGGGGCGGGGATGAAGCGGGGCCACTGCGTAACGAGGCAGGCGCGGGTGAGAATCCACCCAGGCTCAGCTCCACCGGGAAGGCGGGAGGGGGCAGGGCCGGCCACAGGGGAGCATGCGCAGTCACAAACCCAGCCCCGCCCCCGAGAGCTGCGCCGGGCCCTCGGCTCCACCCGCCCTCCTTGGACCCTGGAGAGGAGAGGGCTGGGGCGTTCTGGAACTGCAGTGGGGACGAGGGTGGACGGAGGGCGCTGACACGGCGAGAGGCCCGGGTGGCGCTGCCCTTCTCCTCCTTAGCAGGCCTGCAGACCTAGTGCGCCCCCTCACGGGAGCCCTCAAACTGCTGATGGACCAGCGAGACAGTACCGCGCCAGTCTCAGAGGGCCTCTCCTGACTGGTTCCCTTAAGGAGGGGCGGGGCCGGGCCTAGACACAAGACCACGCCTTCTTCTTCTGCAAGGAGACAGCAGGGGGTCCACCCGAGAAGCAAAATCAGGTGGAAGAGTTTGGCTTTGGAACCGGTATCCTGCCACTCTTTAAAATGGTCATAATACCCACCGAGCAGCTAGTCTGAGTTTCTGAAGTAATATAGCATCCTTATTCTCTACACAGAGTGGGCACTCATACATCTTCTTTTCTATTGTCCCTTTTTCCCTGATCCCTGTTCTCTCAATTACAAAGGGAACCATCCTAACTTTCAGACACGGTGGGGTACCACGGCATTTCTGGACCCTTTGCGGTGTCTTTGCCCAGCTTGGACTCACAGCACTGCCGTCGGCCTCCTGCCCACTCACCTGCAGTGGGGTCCTTGGGGCAGGTGCTGGCATCGACCTCCGTGCTCACAGTAGCCTTGACTGCACGGGGACACGCAGGTGAGGCCGCTGTGGGGGCCGTAGACCAGGTGGTAGCCGTCGTAGCCATCGCATTTGAAGTAAGTCTCCAGCGTGCTCACGTTCACTGTGAGGTAGGACACAGATGAACACGGAAAGCAATCGATTAACCCTAAATCTATGCCTTTTCAATCTAGAATTCTACTTTCAGGCATTTACCCCGAGAAATAATTGGAAAAGCTCACAAATGCGTACACACAGGGATGTCCAGAGTAGCATGGTTTATAAAAGCAGCAACTTTTAACAGAAGAGGTTTTGTTACATAGGGAATATTGTGTAACCAATAAGCACCACGGGATGGGAAATGCTTTGGTTTAAGAGCATATGCTTCCAAGTCAGCCAGACCTGAGTTGACTCTACTACTAACTAGTTGTGTGATTTGGGGGAAATTTCTTAACTCTTTCAGCCTCAGTTTCCTTATCTTTAAAAGGAAACAGTAGGGCCGGCCCCATGGCTTAGCGGTTAAGTGCGCGCGCTCGGCTACTGGCGGCCTGTGTTCGGATCCTGGGCGTGCACCGACGCACCGCTCATCTGGCCATGTTGAGGCCATGTCCCACATACAACAACTAGAAGGATGTGCAACTATGACATACAGCTATTTACTGGGGCTTTGGGGAAAAAAAGGAGGAGGACTGGCAACAGATGTTAGCTCAGAGCCGGTCTTCCTCAGCAAAAAGAGGAGGATTAGCATGGATGTTAGCTCAGGGCTGATCTTCCTCACACACACAAAAAATGGTTGTTATTTTAAAAAAAATAAAAAAATAAAAAAAATAAAAGGAAACAGTAATAATAACACCCACCTTGCTGTGAAGTTTAAATGAGATAATAACATGCAGAGTAGTCAGTCCACTGCCTGACACAGTAAACACTCAATGCAGGGTCACTGTGAGTATAACATTCTATTTAAACTATATTATAACACACTATATTAAAACATATTAAAAAATAATATATCAAATGGGAATATGTACACAATATACAGGGTAATATGTTCACAATTGTTTAAGTGATGAGGAGGTTATCAAACATTAGGTATAATTTGATCCCTTTATTGTAAAAAAAAATTGATATGTGTGAAGGTTCCTATGCATAAAAGAAAATTCAGAAGGATATGTGCAAAATGGATTTGTCTCTGGGGATTGGGATTACAGGTGAGTTTTTTCTCTTCTTTTTGTTAATTTGTGTTTCCTAAAGTTTCTACAATAAACATATTGTACTTGCATAACAAAAATTGTGGGGGTTTCTTGTTTTTTTTTAACAAAAGGCAGAGGCAGATCTGGGGTAGTTGTTCCCTTATGCCCATCCCTCCTCCCTACCACACACACATAGTTCAGAGGATTTCACACTGTGGCCCCAGGAGGGGGAAGGCTTAGCCCGCATGCTTCTAAGAGCTTCTAAGAAGCTCTTGTTGGTCCTGGACCCAAGTAATACTGCATCTTCTATTGGGTTTGGCATGTTCTCTGTCTCACTCCTCACACAGGGTGGACTATTACTTTCCTTCTCCAGCAAGCTTGCCAACCTATCTCATTCCCATTCCGGGATAATCAGGGGCTGTCAGAGCTGACAGCGACCTCAGAAATCTCATCTCATTTTCCAGATGGGGGTGTTGAGGGCTGGATTGGGGATGGCTTTTGCACAGGGTCACACCCTTTCAGGGAGGGGATATCTCTGCCGCTGGGCCAGGTCTCCAGTCTTCAACTTAATATCCTGCAGCTGGAGGGCAAAGGCAAAAGGGATCTCCTTGTTTACGTTTATGAAATGCAATGGCATTTTAACAAAATCATTAACAATTTTATGAAAAGAAAGAAAACCATTAGCTTTGATGGTCAGGAAGGCAGCAGTTGGAGTAATTGCTCTGTGATACTGTACACACGGGGATTCACCAAGCAGTATTTTGTGTTCCTGCTCTTGAACCTAGAAAGCTGGTAGGTACACTGTTTACAATTTTTGTCAAAAATTACAAACAAAAAAGCTAAATTAACTTGCTTCTTGTCTGTGCCCTCTGGAGAATACTTTTCTGCCGTGGGTTTGTGTGGGTTGAAGATCTGTGACAGGCTCCCTCCATTTACCTCCTCCCTTAGCTAGCCCCGACTGTCCCCAAGATAGTGACTCACGAGCCATCACACTGCGCACGTCTCCCCTGGAGAGGGGGTGGAAGACCACGTTGTTCCTGGGCCCCTCACTTCTCTTCCACCTCCCGTGCGGGGTCTGGAGTAAGAAGGCCTCCACTACTGCATCCATCAGCTGGTTGTTCAGGAAGTCAATGACGGGACCCCGAGGGCGGTACTGGAATACCGAGATGACCTTCCAGTGTTGAAGGGTGCTTCCTGAGGCCAGTGCTTGGGTGGGATTGCTGTGTGGGAGGGGCACAGTGAGAAGCTAAGTCAGGGGTGAGGGGGAGGAGCCGGGGACCAGGCGGGGACAGTCCCACTTACATTTGTTCCACGATGCTGTTCCAGAGAAAGGCTCGCACTTCCAGGTTTCGCAGTCTGTAGGCCACCTAGGGCACAGGATGGGGGTTGTGGGTGGTGGGGGTGAGGCCCAGTCCAGAGAGGAGACCCCTCCCACTTTAATGCATCTATTCATCCCTGTATGCTTCTTTCTTTGAATGTGAGCCCCAGGACCCCCAGAACATTTCTCATTCATTTTTACATCCCCACACCCCAGCCTAGCCCTGTGACTGGAGCGGGTCCCTGCTTAACAAAAGTTTGTTGGTGAGTGAAGGACTTTACATACCAACCCCCCACGCCTTCTCTGCCTCTTATTATGAGGGGAGAATCTGAAAAGAATGGCCCCTACCTTGCCTCTGATCCCTGACTCACCCACTTATTCTCTACCGGCATGTATATTGAACGTGGATTATGTTTAGTCAGACCTAGGGGGTGGTCAGGCACTGGGGATGTCAAGGTGACTTAGGAATAGTCCATACTCCAAGACCCATAGACAAATGTCAACAGATGTTACCATGGAGTGCTGTATTAGTAGTAGTAGGAATTATTACTATTATAATGTTTGAACACTTACTGTGTTTCAGGCACCGTGCTGAGTGCTTTACATACATTATCATTTAAACACTGACACAACCCACTGACATAGGTCCTATTATTATTTCTATTTTTACAGATGAGACATCAAATAATTTATCTAATTATTACCCCTGCTCTAGTGAGCGGTAGAGCTGGGATTTGAACCCAAGTAGGTTTCTAGAGCCTCAATAACTAAACTACTGTGTTCCTTTGCCTGTGACTAAGGAATGGACAGGGGCATGGAAGCCAGGGAGAGGGGGCCCCTGGTTCCCTCTGGGAAGTCAGGGAAGGCTTCCTGGAGGTGAAATGCCTCCTCGTGTTTCTTCCATGTAATATACCCAAGTGCAGGTCTCGAGGGATGCTCAGAAGAATACGCTGAGTTGATGCGGCCGCCTTAAAGTCTGTTCATTGTGAGCTGGTTATTCCAACCCCCTCCCAGGTCCCTGACCTGGGGCTTCCTGCCTTCCTCACCTCCCCTCCACCCCAGGGGACTCCAGCCTCCTCTGGCAATTGAATCTAGATGGATGATGAGATGCAGAACACACAAGAGATGGCTAAGTCCCCACCTGGAATATGCCCAGACCCGCCTCCCCACCCAGAGCTGGTCTGTAGCACTGACCGAGGCGTTGACCTCTGCTATGGAGGCATTTTCTTCTTCACTCAGTGAGAGCTGGATGACTCTTAAGGGACGCTCTGGAGATGGGAGAAGCAGATTCATAATCACCTCACGGGTTTACCCAGACTTACCCAGGGAGGCCGTTGGGCCATTCGGGGAGACCACCACATTCCACAGGGACAGGTCACCAGAGGAATCAGGAGAAGTGGCCGAGTCTGCTGACCCTCACCTAGTGCTCGTTCAACTACGGTCAGGGCTTCCCTGACTCTCGTCTCGCTGAGCCGGGAGGTGACCTGCAGTCTTTGCTCAGCAGACTGCTCAGGCCCATGGTTCCTGTGGGACAGCTGCCCCCTGCTATCTCCCACAGCCTGCAACTTACCACCCCCTGAGAGGAACTGGAGTTCTGTCCTGTGAGTTTGAGGGACTTAGCCCTGGCCCTCAGAGTCCCCCAGCTTCCCCCAGGGCGAGAGAAGCGTGGGGGTGGGGATGACGGGGGCATCTGGTGGTACCTAGACTGACAGTTGGGGTGAAACTGTTCCCAGCCAGGAGGCAGCGGGTGTCGGTGAAGGCTGGGGGGCAGGTGCAGGCGGGCTGACAGTCCTCAGTCTGGGAGATGTAGCAGTGGCCGTCATTGTAGCAATAATTCACAGGGCAGGACTTGTTCTGACAGAGTAAGGAGTTCTCCAGAGCTACAGAGGGAGCAGAGAGGTCAGCAACACCAGGCTGGGCAGCAGGGTGGAGCCGCCAGCCCATGGAAAGCTGCTCCTAGGACAGGCTTGGTTTCTTTCCCCCAAAACCCACTCAATCTGTGTTTTGCTTGTGGGCCACTCTGAACCCCAAACTATCCTTCTCCCTTTGCCAGACATTTCTCTGCTGGGCAACCCGTTTCCTCTGCCAGGTAGGTATCCTCCCACTTCTGCTGAGGGAATGGAGTGTTTATCAGACCCTCCGCATCAAGAAAAGAGCCAGAAGGCTGGCGGGAGAAGGGCCCATCAGCCTGCTTTCCCAATTCCATCCCCTTTTCTGCCTGTATACGGCTGTGGTTCTACCCACTCTGGCCTCTGCTCAGAAGACACAGTGGTCTCTAGATTTCATGTGGGTGTCTTAGGGGGCTTGGTGGAGGCCTCACTGAGGTCTCGCTCATCATGACTCCAGTGGCTCAGAGCGGGAGGAACAGAGTGGTGGGAAGAGGACTCCGAGGGAAAAATGAGGACCCTTGCCGCCAGATGCCCATGGCCGCCCCTCCAAATGCCCTGACTGGGAGATATGGAGACCCTGGGCCTTGCATCTCTAAAGACCCTGAGAAGCCTGAGGGCCCCAGCTTGCCTCTGGTTCCCTGGCTGCTGCTGGAAGTCTCCACCCTTCTCCAGGCCATCTTCAGTGTTTTGACCTGGGTCATCCGCATCAGTGCCTCAGGGCTGCTCTGCCCTGGCCTCTCCCCGATGCCTGTACAATCTCTTCTCCTTTAGAGTCACACCTTACCATACCCACCCATACTGAGCATCCTCAAGACTGGCTGGAAAGGGGAGAGAAACGGTTTGCCCTTGGCTGTCCTGGGCCCTCGAGGTGTCACCTGTCCCCAGAACCTCCTCCTGCCAGGGCCCTGCTCTGGCTCACCTGCACAGTGACGCCCATCCCCAGTCAGGTGGGGAGGGCAGGCCTCGCAGCCCCTCCCAGGAATGCACTTCACATTCGGGAAGCACTGCTCCTCACAGAGGTCCCTGGAGCGATCGCAATAGAGGCCGAAGGTGTTCTCATCACACTTGCAGCCGGCCACCTGGAATGGGTTGCTGATCACTGGACAGCCAAGAGGCTGAACCATTAAGGGCTTCTGGGGGTTTGTGTGTTGATCCCTTTGGTCTGAGAACCCATGGACCCTGAGTCCTGTCTAAATTCTACCAGCATCTACTGAGCACCTGCTTGACCGGGCCCTGGGCCTGCACATCCCTGCGCAAAGGCACACCACCCTGCCGCCCACTCGGCCTCCCTGGGGCGTCCTTCCCCTGACCCCTCTGCCTGCCCCTGCACGGGATCTCAGCCTCCTCCTTCTCACACTGTATCTCCTTGCCTGGAAGGATTTCTAGAGTAAGACGGGGGCTAAATAAATATTCTTCTGTCCCTTGAAAACTGGATCCCACGTAAGCTGCAGTTTCCCACACTACCTTCCCTTGCTGACTCCCAAACCAAGAAGACGGAGCCTCACTGCTCAGCACACTGAGAACACACAGGAACCAGAACAACAACCGGAAAGGTCACGGTTCTGGGAAGCTCCTGGAGCTCCCTGGTCTCTCTTTTCAGACTTCCCTACTGAGACGACTCTGGAAATCTCCCTACAATGGATCCTGCCAACGTGTTCTACTTCCAGGACTGCATATTTCGGGATATTTAGAATAATACATTGATTTTAATCTCTGTTTTTCCTGCTTTGTATTTTTTTCCTTTTCCCCCTAGGCTCCCCCACCTCTATCCCTTTCAAGTAGGAATTCTCTGTTCACACCTCAGGAGAAGGGTGTGCATGTATAAGGGGTGAAAGGAGTGGTGGGGTATTGCCAACCAAACACTTTCCTTTCTGGCTATCCCTTTACAACCAAAAATATAAAAATTTTAAGAAGTAGATGGGGCAAGAGTCACAGACTTAGGCAAAGAAACTTGAATGGAGAAGGGTTTTCTCCAAACTGAAAAAGAGATGCTTCTTTTAGTTGGAGGGAAAGAGTAAAATAGAAAACAAAGGCATTGGGGGATGCCGAAGGTGTCCCCTGCACCTCTCTTCCGAACACTACGATGATGAGACCCCGGAGAGAAATGGCTGTGCAGTACTTCTAGGCAGATGGGACCTCAAGCCACCTTACAAAAGGTTTCCTGTGTCTTAGCAAGGCACAGAAGCCACAGAGCACCTCCCTGGGTCTGAAGAGCGGGGAGCACGGATCTCGTGATCTCTGTAGACTCCTGCCCAGGGACCACACAGACACCTTCCTACCCCACACTTCAATGCCTGTTCCAGAACCGTGGAGCTGGGAGCCACTGGGGAACTCTAAGAAAGGCTGAGGTGGAAGTGTCCTGCTAGCCTGGCAGAATGAGAAGTGGGAGATAAAAATTCAGTTGAGCTATAAGCAGTAAAGAAAGTTCTGTTTCTTATACAGGCAAGTTTGTGGCCTGAGATTGATATCTGCTCTACTCACCTACCACAGCTCCACCCACTACCCAATGCACACGTCACCACAGAGGAGCTGAATCAAGACACCCCTTTAATTCCCTCTTCCTTTCCCCCCACCACAGAGACCTCCCTCCCACCCTCGCCCCAACACTCACCTCCAGGGAGGAATTGCCCGCCCGGCTGGTGTGGTTATATAAACACTGGCTCTCTGCGTTGCAGGCACAGACCACTGTCTTTGGCTGGAGTACAGATGACAGGTTGTCCTTGACACTTCTTGCTAGAATCTCCAGAGTGAATGGTTCCACCGACGTTGGCGTCCATAGCAATGTCCCATTCTCTGCCCCAGGGAAGACGAGATCATTGAGAGCCAGGATCCTCGTCTGCTCTGCTGTCTGACATGTCCTGGCATCTAATAGCCTGAGTGCTGATGCTGGACTTTCCCCACCCCTCTCAGACCACCCCTTAAATCTCATCAGGCATTTCCTTGAGCAAGGCTGGTTTCTTGGGATGACCCTGGTCATGCCCCAAGCTGGAGGTAGCACCAGCCCAACTAACTGACTGTAGGGTGGAACTCCACAGAGGGGAAGGCAGTTGCCCCCTGAAGAGACCCCAAAGGGCAACCCTGCCTGGGCCTGCACCAGGATGGGACATCCAGGGGGATGGAGGATGAAGGCCAGGATTCTTCCAACACTTGCCCAAGCTACACTGTGGGCCAAACTGGCTTCAACAGCAGCCCTATCTCTTGCCCTGATTTCTCGCCCACCCCTCTTACTTCCAGGACCTTTGACCAGCCACCCCTTCAGACACCAGACTACAGTGAAACACTGCTACATATTAATCAGCACTCTTCTGATCAAACCTGTCTTATATTTTTCAAGAAAATGGGAAAGTCTCCTTAAAAGAGCAGGTTGAGAGGAGCTGATAGTAGGGAACAGAAAAGAGGAGCTTCCAGGCCATCACTCTTCAGGAGAGGAGCCCCATGGAGGACAAAATCTCCTGACGCCATTGTCTAGCACCTGGGAGGAAGCCACAGGAAGCATAAGGGTGCAGACAAAGCCACCCCTTCTTCTGCACAGAGAAATAAAATGAGGCAGAGAGGTGCTCAGAGCTCAGACTAAGGTCCCCAAAGGCTTTGGTTTAGCAACAAACAGACACCAGCATAATTAGTGCTGGCAACAGAACGCAAGCTGCATCCCGTGGGCTTTGACTCTTTGACCCAGATCATGGTTACAGGCCTGGGGGTCTCCACACCATTCCTGACAGGGAGAGATGAAGCTTTGCTGGGTCCCAGCACAGAAAAGCAGACAAGGAGAGACAAAGTTAGGTAAACATGGTTGACAAACATAAAAATAGGGAGAAATGTACCAAACGAAGATATTCATATTTCTTTAAATCTTGTTCCACCTTATATCTTTCTTTTAATATATATGAAAATGTTTTAAATTAGTATTTGTTAATCGTTATACTTTATTCTAATAATTTGGTGATTGCACAAAGATGATTAAAGATTATTGCATGTCACTAGATTGAGATGAAATGATCTTTAAAATCAGTTGTACGTGCCCAGAGTCAGTCTAGCTAGCTCGACAAATCGCCATAAGCCCATCACTAGTATTCACTGGGGGAACCTATTTGAATTATAGGGATCGTTCCTAAGAAATGCTAGTCCTGGATATTCCAATGGAAAAGTGACATAAAGTTGCACAGGACATAATAACGCAAAATAACCCAAAGCTTGACTCTGACCTCGTCCCCTATGTGTCCAGCCAAGCACTCTTACCAAAGAGCTTGATGTCCGGGTAGTTGTTTCTGAGAACGAACGTGACATTAGAGCTGCTGGTGTACTGGATCAGCTTGGTTGTCCTCAAGTAGGCTTCCACCACACGATGACCTTCGATAGAGGGCGGATACTGATCTGAAGCACAAAGAGGGAATTTGGAGTTAGAGGCAGGACACTCTCTTCCCTTACGGGCCTCTTCTCTCTTTCTCTAGTCCTCTGGCTTGTGTAAGGCATTACCAGGGCTGTGACCCACCTCTGGAAGCAGGAATTATTCTGTGTACCTGCTCTCAGACCTCTGCAGAGCATGTCGGGTTGTACCGCCCACCTGGCCAAAATCTTTATTCTCTCTTTATCTTCTCCCCAAACAGGATTCATTTCAAGTTCTTTCCTGATCAGAGGGCCATGCTGGGCATGGTATGAAGTGAATCAGAGAACAGGGCTGTTCAGACCATCTCAGAGTTTTACCTTTGGAAGAGGGCTGAAACCATGAGGGTAATATCTATATGGGCATTGCATTTGTCAGGAAAAAGGGGGTCAAACCTTTCACTGGTCTCTGTTTTTTGGAGCCCTGCTATTTCCATTTCATTGTTTGTTCATTTGCTCATTCTGTCAGTCACTTAATACATATTTATTGAGCACCCACTGTGTGGCTGGCTCTGTGCTAGGTAGTGAGGACACAGCAATGAACAAATAATAAAAAAGATACTTATGAAAATTAGAAAATACGTTAGATAGTTATAAATGCTAAGGAGAAAAAATAAAGCAGGGAAGGCGAATAGGAAGTGTGGGTGAATGAAATTTTAGACAGGCTAGCCTAGAAAGGCATTGCTGAGAAGGAGACATTTGAATAGAGACTCGAAGGAGGTAAGAGGGGAGCCTGTGGCTGTCTGGGGGAACGGCGTTCCAGGCAAAGAGAACGACATGTGTGGAGTCTCGGAGTTGTGGGTGAGCCTGGCGTGTTTGAAGAACACAAAGAAGCCAGTGGGACTGGAGTGGAGGGAGTGAGGCGGGAGTACTAGGAGAAGAGTTTCCCGAGGCAATGGGGCCAGACTGGACAGGGCTGAGAAGGTCATCATAAGGACAGGGCGAGCTGGGGAGTCGTGGGAGGTTTGAGCAGAGGAATAACATGAGCAAGAGAATCTGTTAAATTTAAAAAATGAGTAGCTTAAAGGAGTGTCGTGGAAGGGGGGCTCCTCATCTGCCCTCTAACTCTGCGAACACCTCCCTGGGCCTCAGGTCACTTACTGAGGGTGGTGTTCATCAGCTGGTATTTTCTAAAGAGCATCCTGGTGTGCAGTCCAGTGCTTATGTTTCTTGTGGCCAGGGTATCATAGATGCATTGTGTATCTCCGTTACACTCGGACACCAAATTTTCACTCGAGGAGTTGTTTTGCAACAGTTGGGAAAAGAAGACAGGAGTGAAGTTGGAAGGCAGGTGGTCGTCCCTCTTGCCAAGGAGACTTGTTTCGTTGATTTTCCCTGTAACACATGAGGTGCAATGGTGGTGGTACCAGGGGTGGGACTCGAGCTATATTTCTGCTGTGTCCACCCCTTACTCTCACTTTATATGGCTTGGGGTGAGGGAGGGGGCGTGGAGAGACAGAGTGACTTCCTGCTTCTGGTCTGGAAATCCTTGCTCTGGTGAGTGAGGGGAACCCACTTCCCTCATCCTCTCTTCCAGATAGAGAGACGCTGGTGGGATGGGGGTGGAGGGGACAAATCTAGAGTGGCACCAGAATCCTCAGTGTCTCTTCCTGGCCTTTCCACCCCTCCCTCACAAAGGATGGAAGTCTGGTTCCCACAGGCCTGAGGGAGACAATGCCTGCAACTTCCTTCATCTTGGCCCTCCTCCATCTGCCCCGAGGTCTCTGAGGCCCAGACTCACAGGTCATTCCATAGTGAAAAAGCACCTCCTCAGAGCTCCCCGGGGAAACGGTGGAGCCATTGGGCATCCTGAAGTCGTCATCTGGATTGTCATTCCAGATCCCTGAGGGACAGAGTAGGAGGTCAGCCATCCTGGCACTATGGCTCTCCTCTTCCCTGGAGAGCATCCGATGGGTCACACTCAAGATGTGAGGGGGCCTGGAAGGCTCTTCCAGTTGCATCTGTTCTCAGTTGAGTTCTCCAACAGGAGGGGAGAGGACCGTAACCTCATAGCCCGCCCCTCTGTTTCAGGAGGGGAGGAGGAGAAAATGCAGGAGGAAGTGGAGGAAGAAGGGAGGGAATGTGGGGGATGGAGGAGGGGTGAGAGGGTGTGAGGCTGGAGAGAGGGGAAGGGTGGCTGCTGGCCCCACCCCCCTCAGAGCCCATCCTCGATGCCCCCTTGGCTGCCCTGGAACTGAGCTTTAGGAGGACAGGATGTGAGCCTCAAAGGTAGCTGAAGAGGCCCCTCGTCCCTCCCTGTCAATTTGTGCCCTCAGGGTTCTCCTCCAAGGAGGCTGAGAAAGGGAAACTCAGCCTGGGGTGTCTGCAGGCCAGTGGGAGAGGAAGCTGCCTGCAGCCTGGGGGTCCGAGCTCCTCCTGCTGCCTCAGCCTCAGAGACAGCGTCCAGCCTGCTTCTTACCCAGGAGGCCCTCTGTGCGGTGTTGATACTCCTCTGGGAGGTTGCAAGAGGCATGGAGGATGTTGGCGAGAGCAGTCACGGAGATGGTCACTGTCCCATCGAAGCTGGCTGACACCAGGGAGCCATTGCGGGTCATTATGACTCCGGTGGTGTTGAATGTCTCCTGGCCTAGAATGTTGGGAGACAGATGAGGAAGAAACCAAGATCCCTGCAGGCCCCACACTTGGCAGTTGTGAAGGTTCAAGATACAGAGAGGAGACTCTGAGAGCAGCTCTGGGATGTCCTGCCTTCTCCAGAGGCCCAAAACCAAACTTACAGGACCCCCTCGAGGTCCACACCACCACCTTCTACCTGGGGACTGAAGACAGGGGCTACCACAGAGAGGCTGTCACGGCACTGGAGGAAAGATGAAGAGAGGAGGGAAAGTTTAACGTCCGGCTCCTAGGTGAAGATGCTGCTCAGGCACAGCTGCTGGAGAGACAGCAGGACCACGCTCCTCTGCCCCAGCACCACTGCCTCCATGCCCCAGCACACTGCTCCCAGGTGCAGGGCCCCCCGCTGAGCCTGACCCAGGGGAGAAGGAGAGGACGGCTGATGGCTGTCCCCAGCCTACCTTCTGCGTCTTCACCGTTAGTCTCAAATGTCACAGTCTGATTATTGAGCTGCACGTGGATTTTGTCATTGGGCTCAAGGAGCCATTGAACCTGGAAGGGAATTGGAGGAGGCCTAAGCCTGACCTTCAGGTGAGCCCAGAGGCCAAGAAATGAGGCTGCACAGACCTTAGAGCCCGAGCTAAGGGGATGAAGGATGAAGGTGATGGAGAGGGTGATGATGAGGCTGTGCTAGCTAATGTGTATGGGTGCTTAGCATGGTGCTTAGCATGGGCCAGGCTCTGAGCTAGGCACATTTCTTAGATTATCTTATTTAAATGTCACAACAGCCCTGTGAGGTAGGAAATATTATTACCCTCATTTTACTCTAAGAAAACTGAGGCATTGGCAGGTAAGTCGTTTCTTCAGTCACATGGCTGGTGCAGCCAGGATCCCAATCCTGCTGTCTCTAGGGTTGACTCTCGAACCACTACACTGGCAGGATGCCTCCTCCCTCCCTCCTGCCCCCTTCCCTTCTTCCTTCTCTTTCTCCTCCTGGGCCTGGATTCCCAGCTGAAGGTCTCTGAGCCGCAGGCTCTCTGTGAAGGGAGCAGGCATGGCTTCGTGCCTCCTCCTCACTCACCGTGATGGGGCCCAGGCTGCTGGAGTTGTATTGAGCAGCAAAGGCAATGAAGTTGGTGGCCCGAGCTGAGCCAGTCTGGGCAGTGCGGCCCTGCAGCAGGAAGGAGGAGTTTCCATCCTGGGCCTGGACCAGCAGGAAGTCCCCCAGCCCATTGAAGGTGTAATTGGCACCATCCAAAGTGGTGATGTGGGGGTCCCCGAACATCCAGGCTGGAAAGAAGGAGAGGCCACATTGGCACAGCAGACCAGGGAAGGGTGTGAGATTCCTCACTGCCCCCAGGCAGGGCATTTGCCTGGGTAGACTCAAGCTTGAGGAGGTTTCATGGAGTACAGAACCCTCTCAGAAGCCCCCTTACGCTTTTGTGCCCCTACCCCATCCACGTCTGCTCATTATCTCCCCACCCTCCATTCCCATCCCTTCCCCAATGCCATGTACAAAGCCCTTCTATTTGCCATTGGCCGTAGTACACTGGAACCATTTCCATCTTCCCTTCTGGCCACAGCCCTGTCTCAGGAGGCTAGTGCCGCCCTGGTCCAGGCCCCAAGAGTCTATCTCTCCCCACATCCTCTGCCTCAGCCCTGCCTGGGGATGGGCCCCAGCAGCCTCACCGGGCCTCGGGGGCTGGTACCCAGCACAGCCGATGCGGGGCCGCCTCTGCTGGTACAGGGTGCAGAAGGAGGGCCTGTCGTTCCAGCGGCAGCACCAGTTCTGCAGCTCCAGTTCTTGGTCTGTGAAGAAGAGCAGCGTGTTGGGGGGGAGATGGAGGACCAGCAGAACCAGCTGGAAGGTTTGGTAGGGCAGGATGATACGGGAGGCAAGGGCATGGATTGGGAATCAGGCACATCTCAGCTCAGATCCCGCCCTGCTCAATGATAGGCCATTGACCAGTTACTGGACCCCTAGCAGGCTTGCTGGAGCCATGTGCAGCAAGGCCCCCAGGTGGGCCGGGCACGTGGTCAGAGCTAAGGAACCTCCTTTCGTGAAGTGTGGGTGCTGAGTCCCACTGCTCTCAAGGTGTTGGGAGTGGGAGGGCATGGCTGATGGTCTGGGGACTATGGGGGCTGCTGTGATTACAGAGAAGGAGTGGGGAGGACTCACAGTACCCTGGCCCCCCAACTCTGTGCTCTCTCGCTCTTTTGGAGGGTGTCTGCGGGAGATGACTCCATGTCTTCCCCCAGACAGCCTGCTAATCTGGGTCCAGAGGGACGGGGTCAGACAAGGCCCCCTCCCCTTCCCTAGAAAGATGCCCCCACGGTGGCCTGGGGCTTCGGGGCCAAGTGAAGATGGGGCAAGAGGCACTCAATCATAAATCCCCAGGATGCCAGCTGGAAGGGATGTCAGAAGCTTCCTAATGTTACAAGATCAGGAAATTGAGGGCCAGAGAGGGGAAGGAGCTGGGAGGGAATGGGGACAAGAGGCTTCATTCTGCAGGTCCCTCTGCTTGACATGGAGCCCAGGCTGGTCTCTGACAGGGGAGAGCAGAGAGCTCCAGAGAAGGTGGGGGTGAGATCTCTGTGGACACACTTACCAAACTGCCAAGGATTTTGCACTCTCCAGCCTTCCAGAAGCTCTCCCCAGGGCCCATAGCTGCAGCACACGCCCCCACGCCAGGAGGAGAAACTGCACAGCCACCTGCCGCGGAGGCCCCAGCCTGCAATAAGTCCAGACATACTCAGGCCCAGGATGCTTGGGGTGGGGGCAGGAATGAGGTGGGGGTGTTTCTGGGGAGAGGTTGAGGGTGTTCTGGAAGGGACAGGTCAAGTGTGACCAGAAGGATGGTGGGTGGCTTCTGGGGGACAGTGAAGATGCCCCGAGAGACAGCAAGGAGGTGTTACCTATGCTGGTGGGCTGGAATCGTAAGTCCTGTAGTCCCTGCCACCAGGAGCAAGGACAGGAGAGCTGGTTCCAGCCCCAGTGGGGCCACTGAGGCTGACTCTTCAACAACTGCAGGCACCTGAGACGGGGGTTGGGCCTTTCTTCCTTGTGTAGCCTATAGACCTGCAGCCCCCTGAGACCTGGGGAAGAAAGGAAGAAGGGTTATCCCAGGGCCTGGGGCCACAGGCTCTGCTTTAGCTTTAGGGATAACCAAAACTCATAAATGCACCCTCTGGATGCCACTTCCCCCTCTGCACAGCTCTTTCAGGGACGGGACTCAGTTCAGATTGGCAGTGATTTCTCCCCAAAGGCCGCTTTGATGTGTCCTCCAAAAGCCCTCAAAGTGTGGATCTTAGGCTGAAACCGCAGGACAAGTGCTGGGCAGGGAGGCCTCACCTGCACCCAACATAGAGCCAAACGCTGGCCCTGATTTTCAGTTCACCCCATCCTCCACACCGCCCATCTGTCACTCTAAGCTCCAGCACCTTCCAATCTCCCCAAACCAGTTCCTCCTCATGCACCCCATATCTCAGTGAGTGATGCCACCAGCCACCTGCTCAGACTCTTGGCTTTCCTCCTTGACCCTCCCCCTCCCCCAGCACAGACACGTCAGTAGCCAAAGCAGCCAAGACAGAGGCCGATGCCCAGAGGGCAGCTGGGGAGTCACAGAGAAGCTGGCATGCAAAGCAGGGGCTTGCTCCAACACCATGAGGCCGAGGAAGCTTCCTCTGTGCCCAGACGCCATCCTTGGAAGGGAGAAGCAACTGGGAGAAGAAACTGTGATGGGGGGTTGAACGTTAAATAGACATTTAATTAATTGTAAGTTACATACTGCCCACCCCAGCTGCCATGAGTGAGAAGGGGCACTCCAGAGTCCAATAAGATGCAATAGGACATAATGTATTAGATTTTGACCCTGTTCTCTCACAAAGAAAGAAACTATCAAGATAACTACAATTTGTTAAGGTCTTGAAAAGAATAATCATTGTTTATGACTATCTGTTCATGTGTCTTCTCCACAATGGCCTGGTGTCAGGGGAAACACATCAGACACCCTCCCTTAACACACACACGCGTGGGCACATACACAGTCACACACACACTGTCATACTGCGCACCCTAGGTCACAAGCAGATGCATCTTGACAGAAGGGCACCTAATCTGACAGGGCACCTCTCTCCACAAGATGGCACCTGTGATTTGACTTAGCTTCTGTTCCCCAAAGATCTTGCCACAGAACAAATAGAACTGGATTTATGCTTCACCATTTACACAGCTGATTTCTAATGCTAAAGTGTCCTTTATTCTATCACATTTTGGAAACTATAATTTCTTTCCCTTTGGGGCCTCCAGACAGTCCATAGAGTCATGAAGGAGGCCCATGGGGCCTAAGGACTGGTCTTTGTACCAGAGTGAGAGCTCTTTGAGAGCAACCATGGTTGCAACCATGGTATTTTTCCTTTTTTTTTCATATTCCTGGCTCTTAGCACAGTGGCCAGCACACAGCAGGTGCTCAATAAGTAATGACTGAATGGATGTCAGACCTCCGGAACTCCTCTTGGTAGAGTCCTATGAGGGATCTCGTCTGGGTTCTCCATCCAGCTCTGGGAGAGGACACTTGGAGTATTGTCCTAACTGTCGATTCATATCCCCACCTCCTGCCATACCCCTGGCCTCACTTCCAGGATCAGGCGCCCCACTGAGAGACCTCCTGGGTTTCACTTATCCCAGGGAGGAGACGTAGCTCCAACTGAGACTGTACTACATGAGGGCGCAGAAGGTACCAGATGCTCCTGGGCAATGCCAAGTCCCAATGACACCTGGGGGAGGTCAGATTGTGCTGGAGACACCCTTCGGGATGGTGGAGATGCTAGGGAGCTGCCCCTCCAGGACTGTCATGGCACACGGAGTGGAGGACAGAAGAGGACTTGAGTCCAGCTCAGGTGTGATAAGGTGGCGCTTTTACCTAAGTTGGAGTTCAGGAATAGGTCCGGACGATACTTCTCCCACACTGGCTGGAATCTCAGTGGGCTGTTTTTGAAATACCCATCTCCACTGCAGGCAAAGGAAAGAATCGTAGGCCTCTGTCACACACAAGGTCTTTCCTCTCAATCAACAAGTTCATTCATTCAACCAGTCAGTCAGCCACTCACTCACTCAGTCCAGCTAGTCATTAGTTATCAGTTGGTCAGTCAATTATTCAATTGGTTGGTCAGTCAGCTAGAATCACCGACTCCCAGCACTAAACAGGAGAGGGGAAGAGATGGATGGGGTGTGAGTGGGGGTGGGGAGACTCTAATTTATTCCACGTCTGTTCAATAACTGCAAGAAACTGGTCATGAGTCAGGAGTGTGAACACAACAGAGTTCAGGCCTCCTTCCTGTTAGTTTCCCTTCAACTAGGGTTTGGAGAGGGGCTCTGGAGGGGACAGCTTGCTGTGAGAGTTAAGAGCTGGTCTCTAAAGTTAGGCAGTCATGGATTCAACTCCTGATTCCAGCACCTGTAGCTTGGTGACCATGAGCAAGTTGCTTAACCTCTTTGATTCTTAGTTTCCACATCTGTGTAAAAGGGATTAAGGTAGCACCTACCTCAAAATATCATGACAATTAAATGCAGTAACATTTGTAAATCCCTCAGAACTGAGTGAGGGCCCCATGCAGTGGGTGCACCACCCCCCTCAGTGGTGGGGCTCAAAGTGCTGCTCCAGGAAGGAGGCAATGCCTCAGAGCAGGGACTCCTGATCTTTTCTCCTCTCTGACACAGGAGAGATGACGCACACAGGCGTGACACATTCCCTGGGCACACTCAGGATGGTGTGGGGTGAAATTCCTAGCTAGTTGGATGATTCCACTCCTTTCTCTTCAGCAGCACATTGAAAAGCAAGTGAAAGCAATGTAATTATAGTGGCAATCCTGAACACTCTAAGAGAAAACCATTTGCAGCAATTACCAGTAACAAATTACCTGTGACCATCACAACCGATTGCACACTCCAGCAACTGGAAATACCATGGTTGAGAACTGTTGTGTCAGAGATGGAGCCTCTTCCACACACAGGAACCCATGTCTCCATCCACAGCCCCATCCCTCCACTCTCCGTCTTTACCACTGATCCCACACAAGCTGTTGGTGCCCCTGGGTGACGGGTTAATTCTCAGCCCATCAAAAGTCAGGAATGCAGATTTCAGCCTCATGTATCTGGGTTCAAATTCCTGCTTTCTCACTTCTCAGCTCTGTGACTTTGGGCAATTACTTACCTATTTGTACCTCAGTTTCCTTATTTGTAGAATGCATAATAAATAGTATCTTCTTCATGAGGTTGTGGTGATAATCAAATGGAATAATGCATATTAAGTACTTAGTGTAATAAATGTTGACTGTTATTATTATGATATTTGAGAAGTCAAGAGAGGTCAGCTCATGTCACTGGAAATCAGAGAAGTCAAAGCTCTGGGAATTATACAAAGCATGAGGACTGGGATAGAAAAGAGAATGGCAGGGTGAATAGAGAATTTTTCATCTGAAACAGCGAGAAGTGGGAACTGCAGTCAGTGAGAGTCAGAAGCATCAGCAAGGAAGACTCACGCCTCGTCTTGGTGGAAGGGAGTGTGTGCCGCAAAACCACTGCTCTGCCCCGTTTCCTGTTATCTGTTCAGTGCTGACAGCCGCTCTTTGTCCTACCTGGAGAAGCCCATGAGGACCGAGTTGCTTGGGCGCTGGGTCACATCCCACTGCATACCACCGCTTTGGTAGAGAAACAAGGCATAGGACCTGCTCCCGTCTGTGGAAAGGATGGCCTGGTAGGTGTTGGTCTAGGGGTTGGTTGGAGACAAACATAGGGATGCCTGTGAGAGATCTGGGGTCTCCTCCCTGATGTCCCACCACCCACCTCCCACCCCTGCCTTGACACACACATCACTTTTTCTGGCCTACCCAGAGCAAAGGCATGGGCTTAAACTGCCGGCATGTTTGGGACCATGTAGGGCAGCTTTCGCCCTGGGTGTCAAAGCATGTATTGTGGTGGGTTTGCCTTCTTTGTGACTTCTTTCCAGGGAGGGGTGGTAAAGGACCCTGGGTTAGACCCCGTTAGAAAAGGGCTTGCATGACGAAGCTACAGGGATCTGAGAGATTAGCCAAGACACCAGAGAGCTGGGAGAGGCCCAGTGATCTTCCTTAGGGATATTTAAGGGCGTTGTCCAAATATCCCCTCAGCCTGCATAGTGTGGAGGACACAGCAGGTGAGACTGGAGGTTCTCTGAAGGCAGATGCCAGGTGCTGTGCTTATACAAAGTAGGTAATCAATGAACTTGTTGATCAAATGAAGAAAAGAGTGACTTTAGACCAGACACAAGGAAGAACTCTATAATTATAAGAGCTCTGAGTCCCCAGAGAGAAGACTGAAGAGAAAGGGTGGTGTGCCCATTTCCATCAGATGGCATGGCAGTTAAGAGCCAGAGTTTGGAGTCAGAAAAACCTCAGTTCCAGGCCTGGCTTTGTTATTTGTTAGCTGGGCGACCTTGAGAAAGTTGCTTAACCTCTCTAACCATCATCTTCCTTATCTCTAAAAGGTGGATAATAATATCAAGCTGAGCCACACAAAATCGCCAATAGCCAACCATTTTTGACTTACAAAAATTCCGTTTCCTATGTTTTAACCTCCTTATAGCCAGTGCTCTGGGCTGCTGTGAGATCGTGTAAGTGAAGGGGTGAGGCAGGCCTGGCACATGGTGAGTGCTCAGCAAACAGGGTGGGGGGTTGGGGGTGGAAGAGTAGGGAGAAGGCGGGGGGTTGGGAGTGGGGGGAAAGTGGGGTGGAGATGGTGGTGGGGGGCTATCATCAGCAATCTTTCCTTGAGTCAGAGAGGATTTTAGTAGAGTGGCCCATGCCTAGGATTCTAGAATGTCTGACTTCCAGATGGTTCACAGGGAGGTGTCCATTGGTCCACTCACCCCCAGGGTCCACTGGGCAGGATAGGCACGGGCATTGACCCATGTGACCTTTAGGGTCCACCTGGCTTTGTAGTTCCAGGTGTTTGTGAACTTTTTGATCCAAGACTCCACCTGATGCACTAGATTGTATTCATCATAGAGCGTCTCATATTCCTAGGAAAGAAGGCAGACAAGGGTGAGGAAATGAGGGTCCCAGTTCAACGCTCACAAAGGATCCCCCCTTTCTTCATGGTGATCCGGCTTACTTTAGTCTCACCCATGTCTCCCATCCTTTCCTTTCCCAGGACCCCATTTTCACAGTTAGCTCCTCTGACCTTAACATCAATTCACATTCAGGCTGCAGGGAAGCCTGGGATGTGTGGAGTGGAGGGTCGAGGCCCAGAAAACTGAATCTTCTGGACTTGCACTCATGCATCTCTTAGCACAAGAGATGGCTTGGACTGCGTAACCCCCTGTGCCCCATTCGTGCTCCCCGTGTCGGGCCGGAGACTCCTTGAGGACAGGCACGTGTTTCTCCATCTTTGGACCCTCCACAGTGGCTTGCCCATGGCAGGGGCACAATCCACATTCGCCTGCGGTAGCTTTCATTACATGCTCCCTCTGATTGGAATCATTAACCCCATCCAGGAGCACACGCAGAGGACTTGCTTGACTCAGGCTTGTTAGGATAGACCCCTTGCAACCTTATTCTAAAATCAAATGCTGGATTGCCAACCCTCATCTCTGTTGCCTGTAGGCCTTCTCATGGTTGTGTTGGGGTATTCCTGAGTCCGTGTAATAGTCCTATTCCTCTAATGGTCTGCTGCCTCCGCGTGCTCATATTTAAACATCAGTCCCTGCTCACATTGAGCCTGGGCTCTGACAGCAGTAACACTTGAACTGGCCTCCACACAGCCCTCTGTCTCTCCTTGCTGGCTGCTGGGGGATCCTGAATGCCAGGCTTTGAAAGGCTCACCTGATAAAATATGGTTCCCTGGCGGATGGAGAAATCAGCATCATCCCAGAATGGAGCCACCAGGGCCACAGGGTCCCGGCCTGTGAAGCCTCCAAGGGGAGGGTTGGGATAGGAGAAAATCTGGTACTCTGACTCTGGGAAAACGATCTGGCCATTATCTGTGAACTGAGCACAAAGGTTCTTCCGGTGAGCATTCAGGGAGGGAATGTCCCAGCCTTGGGCCAGCTCCTCAGAAATGTGACCCTCCAGGGCCTCTCCAAGTAGAACTTTAGAGATGTCAACAACCTCTGGAAGGTCATCTCATCCATCTCCCTGCCTGCTGGCAAAGCCCCCTTTACATAGTTCTCATATAAATACTCTTTACCCTTAGACATTCCCCACCTCCTAAATCCTTCGTAAGCTGGTAGGTTTTCTCTTGCTTCAGCGGCAGATTCTGTCTATAGACCAGCCCGTCACAGAGCAGACACCTCTGGGTAAATCTCCTCAGCCCCATCCTGAAGCTTGTGCCACATCCGATGGAGCTAAAACGATTGATACCCTCACCCCATTGCTGTGTTGTGCTCTCATAGTGTGTCCTGACTTGGCGCACCTCAGTGAGAGCCACAGGGGCCATGACTGCCGTTCCAACTCTCCTCCAGGGGACATGGGCTACTTGGACCAGGGAACCAGGAAATAATTACGGACAATGTAAATGGCATCAAACAGTCAAATTTCCCAAGTAGAGCCTCCTACTCATAAAAAGGCCCCATGAAAACAGTGAAGAGCTTCCTGGGCCCCAGTACCTCTCTACTGAGGTAAAGATACTTTTGTCCACGTGGGTAGGGGGGCCTTGCCTAGCTCCCTGTCTCCCTCGGCTGGCACCCTGATATTAAAGGCTGTGAGTGCAGACCGAGCCAGCAGCAGGGACACAGCAGTTTCCTAAAAAGTGTTGCCTCCATTCTCCCTTCCTCTTGGTCACAGTCATGGTCAGGGTCACAAGGCCACCTCCAAGCCCTGGAGAGAGAAGCAGGGCCCCGGGGAACACAGGTCATGGGTCCTGCCCTTTAGGCTGCAGCGGAGACTCACATAGAGGAAATTCCGGAGAGAGGAGCCGAGAGGGAAGCCAATCTGGGGTTTGAAGAGCGGCGAGGCGAAGTCCAAAATCCTCCTGACAAACTGCTGGTCTCCAACACTTGACCCATAGGGGAAGAGGGAAACGCCTGGGCCAGTACAAAGAAGAATAGGAAGTTCTCAGGTGCCCTGACTTCACTAGGGCTGACAGGGACCCCCAGAGAGCCTCCCCAGGATGCTCCTCCACCCTGTCCACTGTTCCCCTAGCTGGGAGCCATCAGGACTCTTCTCTCCCCTCTCCACTTGCATTTAACCCAACTCCTCATTTTACCCCTTAAACTGGTACTCTCATCCAGTTTGGAGAAAAACAGGTCCTGCTATCAGAATACCAACAAATTATTCTGTATCTGTTAGGGTACTCATAATTCTTTCAAAAATTAAAAGACAGACTCCTCCAATGCAGTGAAGATGAGTAATTGAAAGACCGTTTCATAGAATCAGACTTGTTTCCTAAGATGGTATTTCTCTAGATAAACTTGAAGAACACTAGAATTTTTCCTAGGACTCCCTAGAGGTTCCTGGGCTCTAGTTTGAGAAACCTGGTCCTAAACGTTTCTCAAATGGCTCTCCTCCTTGCCGAACTGGCAGCCCTCACCTGGTCTTGCTTGGAATACCACAGCAGTCTCTACACTGCTCTCCTGGCCTCCTGCAAATCCATCCTCCATCCCAGCCACCACAGCACCGTTCATAAATGCAAATCCAGCCATGTCCTCCCTGGTTCCTGCTGTCTACAGGATTTCCTCACATGACAACAGCCCCACTTCTCAACACTCTTCACCTTACTTCCAGCAACACTGAATGATTTGAGGATCTCCTCCCCATACAACACTGGGACCACTTTTCACGTCCATACCTTTATTCCAGCCGTTCAGGCCCACCTGCCTGCTTGCTTCCTCTCCCCCAGCTCCTTTCCAGGAAGCATTCTTTTCACCTTGAACCCACCACCACATCCCCTAGGGGCCTTCCAATGTCTGCACCTAATACCTTGGGCTTATTCCTCTAATTGCACCTACTGAGGCAGCAGATCTCTCTCTTGCTGAATAGCACCTTGATAATTTCTCTATCTTTAGCTCCTAGCCCAGTGCCATGCACAAAGCCAGCCCTCAGCACCCAACTCTGATGCTGTCACATTGTCCCCTGTAAGTCCTGTCTAACCAGAGAGAGAAGAGTCTGTGAGCAAGCAGGCTGAGACTGAGCATTCAGTTATATCACCCCTATAAAGGGGATATGGGAGCAGCTGGACTTCCCAAGGCCCAGATGGGGCAGTGGAGATAGGTACAGAACTGGTTCCCCCAACTACCCACAAGGGTCCTCATTGGTAGATCCAATTCAGCTGCCACAACTAAGCTCCACATCTAGCTCAATCCTCTCCATCCCAGGGTGGAGAGGCCCTAGCTCTATGGCATCACTTACCTTTCTCGGGCTTGGGAGGGACCGGGGCAGCTGCTGAGGCACCTGTGGATGTGCCGGGAGTGGAGGTTGTAAGGGTCTGGGAAGTTGTTGAGGGTAGTGATGTTACTGTGCTTTTCTTGCTGTCTGTCTTTAGTGAGGTTGTGGTTGTTCCTGGGCGTGCCAGAAGAGAAGACTAGAGTGAGTCTTACAGTCAGAGAATAGCAGAGCCAAAGAGAGACACAGACTTTAGGAGCTGAAAGACAGCTAGAAACCCTCTTGTCTGGCTTCTGGTCACACCCAAACCATTCTCTGAAGATAAGTGGTTGTCTGCTAGGACAGAGGGGATGGTAAGCCTGTCACCCACACACCTCCACTCACTATATCCTCTCGTGGATCTGACCTCAACCCTAGCGTGATATTGCTAACTCACCATCTTTTCTCAAGCACTCCTCCAGGCTGAATTGAGCCAATGGGGCCACTGTAAGAGACCAAGAGGCTGGAGTCCCCACCTACCTGATGTCTCAATCTTCACAGTAGAGCTTGAGGATGATGTGGATGGTGGGAAAGTGCTGGCAACAGACCAAAGAGTGGTATGACCTGTGAATAGAGTGGTGGAGCTCTGGGTGACTGCAGGGCCAGGGGTTGATTGAGAAAATGAAAAATTACTGGTTGAAGTATAGAAACTTGATATGGTCTGAGCTGTGCTCACATTACCAGAGGAAGTAGAGTCAGAGAAAGTATAGTCTGTGGATGGCTGTAGAGTAGGCAATGGACTCTTAGAATACTTAGATGCTGAAGAAGTATCAGGAGTGGTCTTGATCATAGGGTAGGTTGTAGGTGGAAATGATAAAGTTGATGTGGATACTACACTCCTATGATTACTCATAGAACTCATATACATTGGCCTTGTAGTAGAGTTGGTTACTGTTTGAACAATTGTGGGATGCTCACGGGTGTGTGTGCCTGACTTGCCAGCAGAGGAATTTGGGACTTGCGTGGTATTTTTCAAGGAGTCATTGTCAAAACCTACAGGGGAAATGGTCACTGCAGTCATGTTTTCATGGATGACTGAGCTTGAGGTTGTTGTCAGAACTTCTCCACTTGTGGACAAAATTGTGGAAGGAGAACGAGAGGCTACCTCACTCGGGGTGGCAGAACTGACTGTAGTTGGCCCTTTAGTTGCCCCAGATGACAAGGTTGGCATTGCTGTTTGGGTCCTGTGACTGTCACTGACTGGGTTTGAGATAAATGTTGTGCTGGTGTTTGAAGGTGACAGAGTGTGGGCCACAGTATGTGGAGATGTGTGCACATTTGGTGTGGATGAAAGAGGTGGAGATGTGACTGTTGAGAAGGTGTCCATCAAGGGGGAGAGAGAACCAGATCCTCTGGTGGTTCCCGTACTTTGAGTCTGAGCCATCTGCGAAATGGCTGATGTTTCCTGAGGAGAAGTGCTGGGAGAAGCTGGAGTTGACTGTCTTGTTGGTCTCCCTGTTGTTGAGACCTCAGAGATAATGATTGAAGTGGTGGTACTGGGAGCAATAGCAGACACCATTCCCCTGGTTCCTGGAGTAGTGTCATAACTGGTTGCAATGGACAACAATTCAGTTGTTAACCGAGTTGTGTGGCTTTCCCTGGAAGGAGTTGGTGAGAAACTCTTGATCTTATCAGAGGTGGACATTTCTGGGGAAGCACTTCCTGGAGTTGTTTGGCTTCTTGGTGTGGATGAAGAATCTGTAGCTGTGCCCACCAAGGTGGTGTCTGCCACCAAGGTGGTGTCCATCACCAAGGAGGCTGGTGTGCTGGTGTGCGATTCTACAGTGGTCACTGTGCCTTGAGTCTTGTGGGTTTGGGAAATGGCTGATGTGGTGTCAGGTGAGGTGCTGGTAGCAGGTGACATTGATTGTCCTCCTGGGCCTCCTGATGTTGAGACTACAGAGGTGGCCTGAGGAATGGCGCTTGTTATGGAAAATGATGTGCCTCCTGAGGTTCCCAGGGTGGTGTCAGGTCTGGATGGTGATGTCCACAGTTCTGTAGTAGTGGTAGTAGCCTGAGTTGTGCTGCTGTCCCTGGAGGGTGCTTGGGTGAAGACTGTCACTTCGTCTGTGGTGGATGTATCCTGAGGAACGCTTTCTGAGGGTGAATGTCCATTTGGTTTGAATGAAGAAGTTGCAGATGCAGCTGTCTTGATTGTGTCAGTGATGGGGAAGACTAAACTTCTGGTTTGGAATTCTTGTGTGGTCTGTGTGTCTTTAGTGTGACCTATCTGGGAAACAGCTGATGATTCTTGAGGAGGGGTTCTAATAGAGATTGGTGTTGACTGTCTTGTTGGGCTTGCTGTTATAGTTTCTTGAGATGTGTGTCCGCTTAGTACAGATGAAGGAGATGCCAGTGTGACTGTTTTGATGCTTTGGGTCACATTGGAGCTTGTACTACTGACATAAGTCTCTCCAGTGGTCCCTGTGCTTTGTGTCCAGTGAGTCTGGGAAACAACCACTGTTTCCTGTGGAGATGTGCTCAGATACGGGTGTGTGGTTGGCTCTCCCTGTTTACCTGTTGCTGGGACCTTAGAGGTAACCGAAGAAATAGTACTAGCTGTAGAAGTGGATGTGCTCTCTGTGACCAGCACAGTGGTAGCTATTGTTGGTGCTGACAACAGTCCTTTTTGTGACTGAGTTGTGTTGCTATCACTGAAGGATGAAGAAATGAATGTTGTTGTTTCACCTGGAGTGATTGCCTGATAAGAAACACCTGTAGACGTTGAGCTGCTAGTATGATGTTGTCCTGGGGTCTCTGTACCTTCACTCTGGTAGGTGTGGAAAACTGTAGATGTTTTTGGAGTCGAATAACTGGTAGACAGTGGTGCTGATTGTACTTCTGACTCCAATGTTGTAGAAACTTTAGAACTGAAAAGAGGAAATCTTCTAGTTGCAGACAGGGATGGATTTCCTCTGATTCCAAGAGTGGTGTCGGCTGAGATTGGTGAGATCAACATTTCTGATGTTGTCAGAGATGTGTGGCTGACACGGGAAGGGGATAAAGTGGTGGTTTCAACTGAAGGGGATGTCTCCTGAGAAATGATCGCAGACACAGTATGTCCACTTGGAAAGGATGCAGGAGTTGATATAATCGCTACTGTGATTTTGCTGGATTCAGATGACCTGGTGCTCTCAAATCTTGGAGTCTGGTGATTCTCAGAAGATGTTGATGATCGCAGGTGAGAGGTAATGAAAGAGGGCAATGCTGATTTTCTCTCTCCAGCAGATGTTGTTGAGACAGCTGAGGTGACCGGAGTCAAACTTGTTGTTGCAGAAACTGCTGTGTACTCTGAGTTTCCTAACGTGGCATCTGGTGAGGTTGGGGCTGGCAACATTATCGAAGTTGTCTGAGGTGTGGAGTTGACACTAGAAGGGGATGAAGTGCTTGTTTCACTTGAAGGAGAGGTCTCGTGAGAACCTCCTTCTGTAGGAGTGTGTCTACTTGAAGAGTATGAGGGAGCTGATGTGCTCAGAGCTGTGAGGGTGCTGGTTGGAGATTCTCTGGTGGTCTCCATGCTCTGAGTCTGGTGTTTCTGAGAGGATGCCAATGCTCCCAGAGGAGAGGTAGTAGAAGAGGGCGCTGTTGACTGTCTCTCTGCAGCAGACGTTGCTGGGACTGCTGAGGTGACATGAGGCAAACTTGTTGCTGCAGAAGCTGCTGTGTACTCTGTGTTTCCTACCGTGGCGAGTGGTGAGGTTGGGACTGGCAACATTTGTGAAGTTGTCTGAGGTGTGTGTCTGACACTGGAAGGGGACAAAGTGTTTGCTTCACCTGAAGGAGTGGTCTCGTGAGCACCTCCTTCTGTAGTAGTGTGCCTACTTGGAGGGGATGAGGGAAGTGATGTGCTCAGTGGTGTGATGGTGCTGGTTTCAGATTCTCTGGTGGTCTCCATGCTCTCAGTCTGGTGTCTCTGAGAAGATGCCA